CCGGGGACAAACTTTCAAGTTTTTGATTTGCACCCCCCCCCTCAAACTTTCGATTTGCACCCCCCCCTCAAGTTTTTGATTTGCACCCCCCCCTCAAACTTTCGATTTGCACCCCCCCCCCCTCAAGTTTTTCTCTATATATTTTGCTATTTTTTGCCTTGGTGTCACCCCCCTAAGTGGTGTCACCCGGTGCGGTCCGCACCCCCCGCCCCCCCCTCGCTACGCCCCTGTGTATATGTGTGTGTACGGGGGGGGGGTGGTTGTGTTTTTAAAAGATGCTTATAGGCGGTGTTCTAAATAACATGACATGTGGCAGGTGACCTGCATGAAATGTCATATGTCATATGGCAATGGCTTGTATTGATCTGTATGTCATGTGGTCTATATGTATGTCATGTGGTAGTGATATGTCTGTATGCCATGTGTTAATGATATGTATGTCATGTGGTAGAGATCTGTATGGCATTTGGTCTATATGTATATCATGTGATAGTGATATATCTGTTTGTAATGTGGTAGTGATCTGTATATCATATGGTAATGATCTTTAGGTCATGTAGTTGATACAGTGTAGTGTGTGTGGTGTAGTTGTGTTAATACATTCTTCGTGAAATCATTTTTACCGTCTCCATACATTTCTAGCTAACACCAGTCCAGAGTTTCTTCCAGGCATCTCTTCGGGTGGGGGGTAAGGGGCTCGAAGAAAGTCTACCGCCCCCCCCCCGGCAAATGTTGTCCCCCCCCCCCCCGATAATTTCAAGTGCCCCCCCCCCCCCCGGAAAAAAGTCTTAAAGAAACACTGCACCAGTCATATTCATCTTATTCATGCCAGCCATATTTAGCCAAAGCCAAACATTTAAAGTCACATTTCTCTCAAGCCAGCCAGTTCAATTTCTCGAGATGCGAGCCGGTTAAATTTCTCGAGATGCGAGCCAGTTAAATTTCTCGAGATGCGAGCCGGTTAAATTTCTCGAGATGCGAGCCAGTTAAATTTCTCGAGATGCGAGCCGGCTAAATTTCTCGAGATGCGAGCCAGTTAAATTTCTCGAGATGCGAGCCGGTTAAATTTCTCGAGATGCGAGCCAGTTAAATTTCTCGAGATGCGAGCCAGTTAAATTTCTCGAGATGCGAGCCAGTTAAATTTCTCGAGATGCGAGCCAGTTAAAACGTCATCATTCTTTTAGTACCATCAGCCTACCACGTAAACTTATGACAGGTTTATCCTCGCAGGGGAAGCAATCGTGTTGTTTTAGTAGCGTTGCCTCCCTTTGAATTGCGCTATGTCCTTTTACGGAGCCGCGAGTGACGCGACTGTCTACTGGTCAACTTTTTGGGTGCTTTAAAAACTCGACCCGGCCACGTTGTCACGCGAGGCGTGACCTTGATCGTGTCAAAAGGATTACAGCGGTTCGACCGCTCACACAGACACACAGACACACACACACACTTGATAAATACAAACAGAGATAAACTGATAGACATACACACACACACACACAAACAACTTAAAGTTTGTGAATTCGGTCATCATTCAGAGACCCAATTTTTTTAGTCTTTTTTTTTAAAATATTGGTTTCACGATAAAAAAAATATAATCGATTAATGACACTCACACCTATATCTCATTATTGTTGATGCTACTTCATTTATAAACATTAGGCTTTGTTAAAGGATCGTGTTTATATTATCAAACGCTGTGGGGTGTCATTTTTTTTCTTCCTTCTTCGTTCTTAATTATTAGTGTTGAAGGGGATCGAGATTTATCTGCCAGTGGGTTTGAACTCGAGACTGTTCGAATGTATCAACCATGAACTTTTTGCCGACTCGACCACGCCTCCAACACAATTAAGCGTTACGTGTCAACTGGTTTTGCGCCATCGAGGCCATTGACTCCGATTACAGCCTGCTTTACTTTTTGGATTTGCTTCCATAGCCTTTGTCCAACCAAGAACAAACTACAAGGCAGCAGTTGTTTTAATTTTGGAGTTGTCTCTCCTAGATGAGTGGCTGTCCCCAGCTAACGAGCCTCATCTGCCCGAGGGTTCGAACTCGAGACTTTTATCATCATTTTATAATTTGTTATTTTGTGTAGTAATTATAATAATCGGTAGTCAGGGGCCATGTTACATGATACGGGCGGTCAGAGTTTCTGCACGAAATGGAATTTATAAAGAAAACATACTTTTACCAGTGATCGCGCCCCCCCCCCCCCCTCAAAAATATCTAGTGCCCGCCCCCCCCCCCTCCCGCGGTTAAAAAAGTCTGGAAGAAACACTGTGTAGTTAGGGGCTGTGTTCAGAGGCGTAGCGACCATTTCCGGCGCCCGGGGACAAACTTTTCGATTTGCACCCCCCCCCCCTCGAGATTTCGATTTGCACCCCCCCCCCCCTCAAACTTTCAATTTGCACCCCCCTCAACCTTTTAATTTATTTTTCCATTTTGGCGCCCCCTAAGCTCGGCGCCCGGGGACATATGTCCCCCCCCCCCGCCCCCCCCCCCCCCCTCGCTACGCTACTGGCTGTGTTATATGATGCGGGTGGTGGTTAGTGCTGTTATATAACATTTAATGTGATGGGTTTTTTTTCTTTAAATCAGTGGCTAGTGGTTTCTTTTACTATTTCATTTACCGGGGACCTGCAGGAAATGCCTGTACACATATCAAACAGCATGTCGATGGCGAATGGTAGAATGGTAGAGCTAATGACTCCTAACCCGAAAGTCTAGAGTTCGAGTGGTGATAAGTCAAAACGTCTTATATTATGTTTCTTTTTAAACGGCCGATATATCTATTTACAGATGAGCTGATTTATTATGTATAATATAATGACAGATGTGTTGTTGTATAGATTGCTTAAAAGTTGCCTTTTGGACGGCCAAAATATTGTTCTATGGACGGCCAACATATTTATGTATGGACGGTTAATATATTGGCGTATGGACGGTTGATGAATTGTTGTATGGACATTCAACACATTTATGTAAGGATGGCCAACATATAAATGTATGAACGGCCAACATAATTATGTATGGACGGCCAAAATATACATGTATGGACGGCCAACACATAGATATATGGACGGCCAACACATCAAGTTGCCGTGTGTACGCCGTCAGCATGTCCCTACAATTACATTAGCCTTGACTTGTCCGATACAGCCAAGTTTTTTCCCCCTTCAAATTGTCCCGGCGTTTGGTGCGGCTTGATTGGACGAGAGGTGACACGTCATCAATAATTTAAGCGCGGCCCATTCGAGTTTTGTGTCCTATCGGTGGTTTCATTACTCAGCAGACGACACTCCATTGGTTTCGTCCTTACCAAAAGACACTCCATTCCTCACCTGAAGACACTCCATTCCTCATCAGAAGACACTCCATTCATTCCTCATCAGAAGACACTCCATTCCTCACCAGAAGTCACTCCATTCATTCCTCAGACACTTCATTCCTCACCATTCATTCCTCACCAGAAGACACTCCATTCATTCCTCACCAGAAGACACTCCATTCATTTTCATTCCTCACCAGAAGACACTCCATTCATTCCTCACCAGAAGATACTCCTTTCATTCCTCACCAGTAGACACTCCATTCCTCACCAGAAGACACTCCATTCATTCCTCACAAGAAGACACTCCATTCATTCCTCACAAGAAGACACTCCATTCAGTCCTCACAAGAAGACACACCATTCATTCCTCACCAGAAGACACTATTCATTCCTCACCAGAAGACACTCCATTCATTCCTCACCAGAAGGCTATCCATTCATTCCTCACCAAACGACACTCCAGTGGATTCTCGCCAGACGACACTCCGTAGGTTTCATCCTCCACCAACTTCCGGATGATACTCACTCCAGTATTTCCGACACACCGACACTCCTATAATCCCCAACATACAGACATCTCTTCTGCCTACGTTAACTTCCCTCAATCCTTCATACCTAACACATGGATCCTCTGGTATCTATCGTACCTCACATAACAATCCCTTTAACCTCATCAACCCAACTTCCCCGGACCATTCCTCTTCATTCACCTAAGCCCTACACCCCTCTAAATAACACCCTAACGCCTTTAATCCCCCCCCTATTGCACCCCCTCACACCCCACGACCCCCTCTCAACCAAACACCCCCAGACCTCCTGCCTGCGGTCTCCAATTATCAATCAGATATAACACCAGATGAAAAACATGCCAGCGCAGTGAAAGATTTATTTAAAGGCCAGATCAATATTTGGGTTTCCTGCCAAAATATTGTCCTGAACATGCATATTCAACCACAATTTCGCATCGTCCATTGTTTAATGATTATTATATAATAGAAATTCTGCCGAGCAGAATTGCTTCGCATTTTTTTTGTATCCCAACGAAATTGGCGTCTACATATTTTATTTATTTTAACCTTATATATATATATATATATATATATATATATATATATATATATATATATATATATATATATTCTCTATTGAAACAAATGGCTATCAATAACAGAATTCATTTAACTTCCTTCCCCCTTCCACCACTAAAGTCTATTATGGACGTAGTCAGAAAGGCAAGACTTATACAACCTTTACATATAACGTTAAAACATGACCCCACTCTCAACTCATAAAAAAACAATAATACTAGGTTCAACATGCTGTTAATTGTTTACTTATTTGCTCAACAATTATGTTGCGTGGTACGTCACACTTCTTGAGCTACACGTCTTCTCCATCTACCAGTAACTAGATCTTACAAATGTCAGTCCTTTCCCTCTCTTATTTACAGGAGACTCACTGAACAAGCACAAGTCGTGGACATTCTAAGATCAGCCAACATGATTATGTTCTAAAACTGCTATGATAAAACAATAGAGGTTCTAGAACTTCAATGATCAACAACAACTCATTTGATTAAAAAGTTGGGAACAAACATACAGCATTTACCACGGACACACACACATAATTTGACAACAGTGTTAACGCAACAACATTAAAAAAAATTATCGACTCTATTCTTTTATTGTACACCATCTATTTTCAATAAATCTATCACGCCGATGCAATTGATCAGGTCAGTTATGGGATGAAGGTTTCTTACATTGCTGATCGTTTTTGTTAAGTGCTATGTTAAATTTTTTTATTGTATGGATTACCAGTGTTCAATAAATAACATTCTGTAACACTATTATTGATTGATTTCAGTTGAAGAAATATTTTGTTTGATGATTCGTAGTCCTCGGATTCGTTAGAAAATTCTTCACACAAAATAATAAAGAAAAAAGAAAAAAAGGGAGGTAAGCATAATAATACAATTTAATTTTTTGTCATAAGTTATCAACCATTATACGAATTTTCTTCTTCATTAAAAGTAGTTTTGTGGACCATACTAATACTATTCCATCACATGAAAACGTCTCAGGAGCCGATAACTCTAATCATCTGTCCGTTTAACCATTTCCCCTCAATTTGAAAGACATTTTTTATGTGTCGTCCGTGAGTGAAGCAACACTTGGTGAAGGGGTGGTGGTCTAATTAGTTTGAACTTAATTAATTAAGTTTTTAAAAAAATCTAATTTTAAATGCCTACATATCCATGTCAGAACTGTTCATACATGACATCATCTCTTGGATAAAGAAACGGAATGTTTACAATGCTCATCTTTGAATCTAGCCGAGTGTTTAACACCACGTGCAACAAGATTTGTGTCCGGCATCACGTCCAGCATGCTGTCTATACAATGTCCAGCAAAATGACCATTAAAAAGACCACCAGTCATTGCCAGTACGTAACACCATATAATTGTCCCAGCATTTTCTGCTGTAGTTTTTAACCATTTGAAGTTACTTCCCCTTGCTAGTTTTCCTCTATTTCTTCCAATTGTTTGTGCTTTTCTTCATTCGCGTGGATTACGTCCCCTGCATCCCCGGCTAAAATCTTCATCCCCCGTAGCGGGTCATCACCCCCTGGGTTCGGTTCCCTGGGGTTAGGCAAGGAGAAGTACAACTTCTCCCAGAACCACGGGTCATTGAACTTGAGGTAGGTTTTAGATTTCATCTGAACCTGTGGAACAAAACAAATTTGTTAACACGCTCCTAGATACTAGTACAATTACTTTTGACACAACGAAGTAATCTCATTTTTTGTATCATTAGGAAATGCTAACACTATCCCTAATTAAACACGCAGCACGCAGTAATTGGACCTGAGCTAGAAGTTAAATCCAGTAACTGCTCTAAGACGTTAAACACACGAAGTAAAATCCACTAACTGCTCTAAACATGAAACACGAAGTAAAATCCACTAACTGCTCTAAACATGAAACACGAAGTAAAATCCACTAACTGCTCTAAACATGAAACACGAAGTAAAATTCACTAACTGCTCTAAACATAAAACATGAAGTAAAATCCACTAACTGCCCAAAACATGAAACACGAAGTAAAATCCACTAACTGCTCTAAACGTTAAACACACCAAGTAAAATCCAGTAACTGCTCTAAACGTTAAACACACCAAGTAAAATCCAGTAACTGCTCTAAACGTTAAACTAACGAAGTAAAATCCACTGCTCTAAACGTTAAACACACGAAGTAAAATCCACTAACTGCCCAAAACATGAAACACGAAATGCTAACTTTACCTTTAAATCCGGGTCCAACTCCTCTTCAGGGATGTCCCCCAGCAGGACAATTATAAGTCGGTGAGTTCCCTCCCTTAGTATATGATAGTGGGCAGTCTGAAGTTGTATAATAGATACATTTTAAAACAAAATATTAGATGATTGGCTGTTTTAGGTTACCTAGCAAAATCCATAATTGTAATGGGTTCCGAACACGAAACCTACGTGATAGCCACACAGCTTAAAACAAACTTAAGTTTAAACCGTTGGTTACCTGACTCCACTAAACATTGACCGTTGGTTACCTAGTTCACTAAACATGCAACACTGACCGCTGTTTACCTGACTCCACTATACATACACCACTGACCGCTGTTTACCTGACTCCACTATACATACACCACTGACCGCTGTTTACCTGACTCCACTATACATACACCACTGACCGCTGTTTACCTGACTCAACTAAACATACACCACTGACCGCTGTTTACCTGACTCCACTAAACGTACACCACTGACCGCTGTTTACCTGACTCAACTAAACATACACCACTGACCGCTGTTTACCTGACTCAACTAAACATACACCACTGACCGCTGTTTACCTGACTCCACTAAACATTGACCGCTGGTTACCTGACTCCACTAAACATACACCACTGACCGCTGTTTACCTGACTCCACTATACATACACCACTGACCGCTGTTTACCTGACTCCACTAAACATACACCACTGACCGCTGTTTACCTGACTCCACTAAACATACACCACTGACCGCTGTTTACCAGACTCCACTAAACATACACCACTGACCGCTGTTTACCTGATTCCACTAAACATACACCACTGACCGCTGTTTACCTGGAACTCAAACCTGCACCACTCACTGTGCAGGAAGTTGGAGGACAGCACCAGTATGGTCCTGCTGCTCTCTTCTATAGCTCTCACTATGGTGTCCGTGATGTTACGTCCTACGGGGAAATCCCGGTAGTGGACACACAGTCTGTACCTGGGGATTAGACTAGACACGTTAGACAGACAAACAGACAGACAGACAGACAGGCAGGCAGGCAGGCAGGCAGGCAGGCAGGCAGGCAGGCAGACAGACAGACAGACAGACAGACAGACAGACAGACAGACAGACAGACAGACAGACAGACAGACAGACAGACAGACAGACAGACAGACAGACAGACAGACAGACAGACACAGTCTGTACCTCGTGGTTAGACAAGACACATCAGACAAATAAATAGACACATACGAACACAGACAGACACACGATCAAACATCTATATGCACGTACGCATTCAAACATACGCACACAAACACACGTGAGCTTAATCCAAGAAACAGACAAAAACACGCAAAACACACACAAATCAGCGAACCTGCACATACGCGCTTAAGCGCAAACACACACAACCCGTACACAAACATACCCTCGCATACAAACACGCTAAATGCTGCGAACCCCCCACCCCACACAATGTCTGGTACCTCTTGTCCTCTAGACCAGGCACCAGAGTCCTAGCCACAAACTCCGTGTCCATACTACTGTAGGAGATGAAGGCATCAAACTGCTTCGTCCCGGCATCCAACTTGTCGTACTTGGCCTGTCATAGGGACACAGTAAAAGTTTACACCACCGTTGTTTCATCTTATTCTAAGGACAGGTCAAAAATTATATCACAATACGTTTTGGTCGTAGACTCGATTCCTTACCTTTTAGTCGTAGACTCGATTACTTACTTTTTGATCGTAGACTCAATTACTTACTTTTTGATCGTAGACTCGATTACTTACTTTTTGGTCGTAGATTCGATTACTTACTTTTTGATCGTAGACTCGATTACTTACTTTTTGGTCGTAGACTCGATTACTTACTTTTTGATCGTAGACTCGATTACTTACTTTTTGGTCGTAGACTCGATTACTTACTTTTTTATCGTAGACTCGATTACTTACTTTTTGATCGTAGACTCGATTACTTACTTTTTGGTCGTAGACTCGATTACTTACTTTTTGGTCGTAGGCTCGATTACTCACTTTTTGGTCGTAGACTCGATTCCTTATCTTTTAGTCGTAGACTCGATTACTTACTTTTTGATCGTAGACTCAATTACTTACTTTTTGATCGTAGACTCGATTACTTACTTTTTGGTCGTAGACTCGATTACTTACTTTTTGGTCGTAGACATGATTACTTACTTTTTGATCGTAGACTCGATTACTTACTTTTTGATCGTAGACTCGATTACTTACTTTTTGATCGTAGACTCGATTACTCACTTTTTGGTCGTAGACACGGACCCCGAGTTTGACAAATGTCCAAGCCTGAAGTTCCCGCCTTTTGATCAGCCCGACGACGGCCAGCGTGAGCACTGCCAGCAGGCAGACGGCCGTTACAATCAGGGCAATGACGTGAGCAGGCGTGGACGCCACAGACGTGTCCGTCGACGGGAGCCACGTGATGTTGGATCTGCAATCGACGCTGGATTCAAAAGACGAGAGGTAAAAACACTTCCGGTTGGGGAAAGAAATGTCAGGGTCGTCGCTCTGGTTCCGGTGTTGCGAGCTGTTTGTGTGGACGTATCCCGGGGCGACGAGCTCCGGCAGGCAGCAGGCGAGTCTGGAGCCGTCTTGCACGGCGTCACTGAAGACGTTTCTGATGACGCTGATGACGCCGGACGACAGGTTGCTGCACGGACACAACCAGGGGTTGCCCGAGAGGGTGACGGCGATGAGGGCCGCACCCCGTTTGAGATCCAAAAATAGAAGTCTGTTGCCATGGAGAGTTAACGTTTCTAAAGACGTCAGCCCAGAAAAAGCATCGTAGGTTATGGAAGTGATACGGTTGTTATGAAGATAGAGATGGGTTAGTTTGTTTAACGGTCCAAATGTTTCGTTGGATATTTGGGTGAGCATGTTGTTGTCGAGATGAAGTTGGATGAGTGACGACATGTTGTTGAAAGCGAAGTCCTCAATGGACGAGACAGAACTTCCGTTTAACCAAAGTATTTCTGTCTTCCTAAGGTGGTTCAGGTCTGCGTATCGAACCGTGTCCAGGAGATTCCCATCCAGGTAAACGCTGGTCGCCCGGGGCGGGATCCCATCAGGGACGGCGGTCAAGTTCCGGTTCCCGCAGTGGATGTGGAAGTACGTTTTCGCAAAGCCGGACCCGGCTACGTAGCAGGAACAGTTTTCCGGGCACGTCAGCGCGCAGTCGCACTCACTGTCTGGGCAGCAGTTGCAGCCGAAGTCGCAGAAGCGCTCGGTGTACTTGCACGTGAAATCACTCAGCGGTACATCGTTGAAAGGACGAAGCTGCGCCCGTTCGTACTCGGTGTAGCAGTAAGAAAACTTCAGGTTGATAAACTGGGGATAAAACCTCTGAAACACGATCGTCCGGTAACCGTCTTCAGCGATGACTTTGAGGTAAGCCATCTCGCACGTGCAGAAGAAGACGTTGTTGCTCATATCGAATGTCGGTTTGGGGTTGTTGTCTTTGAACGTGTTGACAGCGTAGCTGGGGATTAAAAGTGCGTTGCTGCCCAGATTGTTTGAGAGATCCACGGCTTTTAACTGAGGCAAGTTGATAAAACTCGTAGAATAAAACTGGAGAAAATAGTTTCGACCAATGGACAGCGCTTGAAGAGTAGGCGGGAACCAATGCGGTCTGATGCTTTGAAGCTGGTTGCTGTCGAGGAATAAGTAGTTGAGGTTTTTCATGTCGATGAAGGGCGAGCCGCGGTTGAAGTCGGTCAAGGAGTTGTTGTCCAGACGAAGCTCGTACAGTGACGGGTGCTGTCCCATAGTACCGACCTCGGAGATGAGGTTGTTCTGTAACCAGAGGGACGCCAAGATCGGGCTGTTGGCGGCGAAGTACGGCGTCACGAACTGGAGACGGTTGTTGTTGGCGTGGAGAATTTGCAGTTTGGCGAGGCCTTGGAGATCGACGTCGGTCAGGGAGATCAAATCGTTGTAGCTGACGTTGAGTATGATGAGATTCGTCATAGCGGACATCACAGGAATTGAGGTGAGTTTGTTGCCTTGGAGGTACAAGAACTGCAGCGAGACGAGATCGCTGAAGACCTTACTGGGAAGCATCTCCAGGAGGTTGTTGCTGAGATCCAGATACAAGAGCTTGGCGAGTCCTCTCAGAGCGCATTCGTCTACTTCCCGCAGGAGGTTGGAGCTGATATCCAGAGCTATCAAGCTGTTGTTTGCCGGAAACAACATCTCCGGCAGAGATCCGATGCTGTTCCTGCTCACGTTTAAAAAAGTCAAGCTGCTGTGGTTCTGGAAAGTTCCCCTCTCCAGTGTGGTGATGTTGTTTTCTCCCAGCTGCATGACCCTGACGGACCTCACCCGGGCGGCCTTGACCGTGGTCAGGGCGTTGCCCGTCAGGTACAGTCTGCCCAGCGTCGCAGAGTTCAGCTCCTCCCAAATCTCGTCTGTTATTCCCATGAAGGTCAAAGTCAGCTCGACAAGGTCAAGAAGAAGAGATACACCTTGAATGTCAATAGCGTGACCTGCGCCACCTAGCCGTAGTTCTTCGAGGCGACTTGTGTTGAACAGCCTGTTGGGGATTGGGGGTGGGTGAGATTGATTGAATGTAAACAATTAATAGGCTTGTCAATTTGGTGATTAACACATTATAGTCTCACACTCAGGGGCGTAAAACTTGGTGGGAGGTGGGGTCTACATTAGAGCACTTAAAGATTCAAGAGGAAAGATAATTAGTTCGAATGTTACCTAATAGGCGGATCTATCATTTTAGTTGGGTAAGGGGGGGGGGGGGTCGGGGGAGGGGGGAAGTTGGGGCTAGGCAGCCGTATACCTCCCACAATCCAATACTAGCTATAAAAATATATATTAAGAAGAAAACAATTATTTCTTTCTCCAACATATTTGCTGGGAGTGGTGGGGGTGGGAGTGGTAGCCAACTTTTGATCTGCCTCTATGAGAAAATTACAAGCTAATTTAGAAATAGCAAAAGTAGCAATCGATTGTACAAAACTTGTCAAATTACCGACCCACCTTGACAAGAGCACTTTGTCCAGTCGGTTTTCACTTAGATCCAGGACGGTCAAGTTTCTGAGGTCAAGGTCATCCGGCACACTCAGCTCCTTAATGGACGTGCGCCGGAGCAGCAGCTGTTGGAGCTGGGGAGATGACCGCAGCAACGTCACGGGGAACTCCTTGATCTGGTTGTAGCTGAGGTCTATGAATGTGAGGTTAGGGTGGGCGGGTCCACTTAACGCGGGGGTATCAGGGTCATTGTGGGCGGGTCCACTTAACTCGGGGGTGTCAGGGTCAGGGTGGGCGGGTCCACTTAACGCGGGAGTATCAGGGTGGGCGGGTCCACTTAACTCGGGGGTGTCAGGTTCAAGTGTCGTGAGGAAGTTGCTTGAAAGATTTAAGAAGCGTAGGGATGACAGGTTGGATATCCTCGTGAGTCGCGTCAAGCCAGACTCGGCGATTGTTAGATTTTCCAGACGTGTCAGCTCTTGTAGCAGGTTCGGATCCAGCGTGGGCAGGATGCACTGGGATATTGTCAGCACGCGAAGGCTGGTCAGGAGCAACGGGGAGGTCACCACGCTGATGTTGCACTGACTCAACGAGAGGGACTCGAGGGTCGTGAACCCGCCAAAAAGGTCAGACGTGAGCGAACTCTGACGCCTGCTCGGATAACAGATGAGGGACAATGACGTCACCTTGGCCGATATCGCCGACGTCATCTGCAAGTCTGCTTGGGTTAAGGCGCTGACGTAGCAGTCGAGGCTGTACGTGTCCTCCATCTGGGTGCACCGGCAGCCCTCTACGTCGCAGTCGTCTGCGTGGCTGAGGGTAGTCAGGCTCAGGAAGGTCATGGTTAATAGGATAAAGATGGCTGACATGCTTATAGTTTAGTTAAACCGTTTAAAAAATTAAATTAAATTAGATGTATAGACATATAATCGTTGTAGGAGAATAAACTATTCTGAGTCTACAATTAAGTCCATTTATAACACCCTCCTGTTGAGAAAATAAAATAGTGCGTTTGATGTGTTGATGACGTCTTGAAAGGCTGGCGTTGTCAATATGGCTAGAGACAAGCTGATGAAGAAGTATGATCCCTTGTTTGAGCACTGCTCGAATACAGGGGCCATCAGTAGATGTTACCAGTAAAGGCCATCAGTAGTAGCTTGACCAGATCAAATACACACTCCACTTGGCTTTGGAAAAAATCTGAAATAAAAAGAAAAACAATTGTTGATACATTATTTAACCACAAAAACTAGACATCCCCCCCCCCTCCATTTAACATAAAACATCATCACCTTGTTAATCTATTAGAGCCCACACCAAATTGACGATGAAATAAATAAAGTTGGCCTGGAACTAGTTTTATGGTAAATAAATTTATTTTTAGGTAGTTATTTATTTTTGGAATATTCGGGGAATAGAACATACCACTAGAAAATGAATAGCGTACATGATTTTAAATAATAGGATTAATAACATAATGGTTTTTGAAATATAACAAAATAAGACTAGTCTCTTGAAATATATACAGTCCTTTATCAGTGTTTATTTCGGGGGGGGGGGGGGCACTGGAAATTTTCGAGGGGGGGGGGGGGGGCACTGGAAAAAGTATATAATTTATTTTCTATATCAATTCTAATTCGTTCGGGGAGTGGGGGGGGGTAGACGAGAAGTAACTAGAAGAAACTCTGTCCTTTGTAATAATTCAGTATGTTTTCATGCAAGGATATATCAAACATAAAGCATACCAGCTGTTCTAAAGGGTTCCTGATAAGTTCATATGCTAAAATCGTAGTAGATAAGTACGTTTTGATGCCTTTTAGTTGGATGGTATATTGGGTCACCACTACTTTCATATTGATGCCATGTTGTCGTATATTGCCATATAGTCTTGTCACATTTTTACTGCAGTGTCTAATCCTTCTGTTATATCGTTTTACGGTACATTCACGGTCGTAACATACTGCTTTAAATCACCAGGACCAAGGTTAAGATTTGTGTACTTTTCTCTTCCGGTAAACAGGATGTGGAAATCTAAGAACTTATTTTAGACTGCTGTATTAGACTGGTGAATGAGGTAAAAGTCATCACGGAGTGGCACGGATGTGGTCGGTAGGTTAAAGCGTGTCCATGTAGCACAGTGTGTTAGTTTAATTGTTACGCGTGACACGGGAGGTCAAGGTAGAATGAATAGGTGGGTTCCTATGACATTCAATGCTGCTGTTATGGGTTAAATTTAAGTGATTACACACAGAGATACACACAAAGACATATATATATATATATATATATATATATATATATATATATATATATATATATATATATATATATATATATATATATATATACATATACATATATACATATATATATATGTATATATATATATATATATATATATATATATATATATATATATATATATATATATATATATATATTTGCGTGAATGTGTGTGTGTCTTATTGACTTATAATCCATACAACCTGTCACTTAACCTAAACAATGTGTTTCTCCAGCCAATCACCTTCAATCAATACGATGAACCACGCCCCCAAATATACTCTTGTGTAGTGCGTGGACCAAATTTGTGGCTCTTATCTTGATTCTTTTATACACAACGTGCTAGTACATAATACATATTGAGTTCAAATCTGGTTTCAAGTCTGTGGAACATCCCCCTGAGTCCACTCAGTTCTGATGGGTACCTAACTCACGTTAGGGAAAGTAAAGGCAGCTGGACATAGCGCTGACCACATTATTCCTTCATAAGCCGAGGTCAAGAAACATATAAACTCTACTTCATCTGCCCAATGGATCGCTAGGTCTCAAGAGAAGTCTTATCTCTATTGTAAGATATACTAGCACAAATTCTAATTTAAAAATATATGTAATTTGGTTAAAGTGGACAATATATTATTAATAAAATATAAGGAAACACAAAATACAAATTTAACAGTCTTACCTTTAAAAAAAATATTTAAAAAATGTCTTATGTGAACATGTGAATGGTTGTTATAGATTTAGATATCACCATAATAATCCTTGAAACAAAATCCACGGTCCCTGTGGTAATACATATCCTCAACTAGCCTAATCTAGGCCCTGTATGAGATGTGACACTGTTTTAACTGAACAATTTCTCAGCCCAGACAAATGTAAACCACTTAGGTCACGCCGCACCCACCGTCAACTTAAGGGTAACACAACATCGTGGCGTTCACCTTAAACAAAACAAAACATGTGGGTCATGACATGCAGCAGTTCAGCCAGCTCCGTAATGGCAGGTTTTTTTTCTCTTTATTTCGTGTCACATAAGATAGATCCCGTCCGTGTCAGCTCATAAATCTTTCCCCCTGTCTGATTGGGTGAGGGTTCTATCTTCGCATGTTCCAAGTATGCGTCATTAATTTTTATCTTTTAATTAATGAAGATTTAATTATTATTTCACGTTCCATGCGTGAATCACACCATTTTTAATTAGTGATGATTGCAATGTTATTGTTTAATACAAAGTGTTGTTGATCTTTTTAACGGATGTAATTAATGCGGAGATATTTAATTTTTTTTTTAAAAAGTGCCCAATTAATATGGGTGTAAGAATAGCACATGTCTTGAGTTCATCTTCACCCCCCCCCCCCCCCCCCCCCCCCACCACCACCACCACCTCCTGTCATGGAAGAAACTGTTTATAATTGTAGGGTCGGAACAAAAAAAAAGCTAATCATGTCTAGTGAGTCAGAAAAAGATGATTTCCAAAATTATTTCCCTTTACTTTTAAAAATTGTTTTCTCTACGAAACAATAACGTGACGAATTTTTGCAACAAACAGTGGCGTTGACCTGCCTCATCTATATATATAATTCTCTTCTTGGATACCCTAGAAAACATCAAGCTGTAAGCGCGCCAAGCAGCCCCCTCTCTTCCTCTCTAAGCATATCCCTACCACCCCCACCCTCACATGGTCTGGTGAGCAGTGTTTCTTCCAGACTTTTTTCTCCGGGGGGGCACTTGAAATCTTCGGGGGGGCGGTAAACTTTCTTCGGGGGGGCGGACACTGTTAAAAGTATATATTTTCCATATAAATTATATAAATTTCATTTCGTTCGGGGGGGCGGTAAAAATTTTTCGGGGGGGCTTCGCCCCCCCGAAGAGATGCCTGGAAGAAACTCTGCTGGTGAGCTGTGGTTTGGTTCACGCTAAATGTTTACAAACGTGACGGCTATTAGGGGCAGATAATTTAGTTTGAAACGATTTTAAACTCAGGGGAGGTAACTAAGAGGAGGCTACTTTCACGGGGGGGGGGGGGGGGGCGGTAGGGAAGGGGTTGGGGAAAGGGGGTGTGTGTGTGGGGGGGGGGGGTTATCGTCCTTAACGACCTACTGATAGTGTTTTAAAGCAAATATTTTCAGTGGCAGCATTGGTACTGTCGAATTCACAAATTATGAATTACTGAAAAGTAGAAAATAAAACAACTAAATAGAGGCGTATGATACGCCGCGGGTCGGCTCGTTCTACATATAGGTCATCCACAGCTTTGTACCACAAAGAACAGAGGGATACATGAGATATATCCCAACACTGCTTGTTGAAACCACTTGACCTCGATCCTCCCTGTACAAGATACCACAACAAAACCATCCAGGTCACCTTACAACACTTGAATGAATGAATGAAATCCTAAACACAACCAGTGTTTCTTTCAGGCATCTCTGCACCCCTCCTCCCCCTGAAAGTTTCAGAAGTTTTATGTGTCTTTTGGAGAAAAAAAGTCTGAAAGAAACACTGATGAAAACTGATAGCGACCCTCGACATATTTTTATACGTCATTCACATGGTGGGTTGAGAGGTTATTATAGTGGTTATATGCGTGTACACAAAAATACACACTCATGTGGCAATATACGTGTACAAAGCACACCAATAGGGCAATATACGTGTACAGAAGACACTTATGTGGCAATATACTTGTACACAACACACTCATTTGGCAATATATGTGTACACAACACTTTAATGTGGCAATATACTTGTATACAACACACTAATGTGGCAATATACTTGTACAAAACAAACTCATGTGGCAATATATGTGTACACAACAATTTAATGTAGCAATATACGTGTACACATCAATGTGACAATATACGTGTACACAAAACATCAATGTGACAATATACGTGTACAGAAGACACTTATGTGGCAATATACGTGTACACAACACACTTATGTGGCAATATACTTGTACAAAACACACTCATGTGGCAATATATGTGTACACAACACTTTAATGTGGCAATATACGTGTACACAACACACTAATGTGACAATATACGTGTGCACAACAATACACACTCATATGGTAATATACATTTTTATGGATAGTGCACTTGAATCTTCGGAGAAGGGGGTACTTAAAACTTCCGGGGAGGGGGGGGGCATTGAATAAAGTATATACTTTCTATATACATATATCATTTTGTTTCTATTTTGTCTGGGGTTGGTGGACTTACTCCGGGGAAGGGGGGAGGATACCCCGGAGAGATGCCTAAAAGAAACAGTGACAGCTGTTTGGACCCATCACTTTCCAACGAACTCCCGACTTACAGGTTTGTACGTAGTGTGGTCTACCATTCGTCAACACCGTTATGTGGACGACCATCGTTATGTGCAAACAGTGCACGACGAGAAGGTCGATAACTCTATGAGCTGGCCCCCTATTTTCATTTAATCTAAAACACTAAAACAACATAAAGCGGAAGGGGGAAGGAAGGGGTACTATAACATTTCGGGGGGGGGGGGTGGACACTGGTTAAACTATAATTTAATATAATAAATTTAAAAAAAAAATCTATTTCGTACGGGGGAGGGGGGAAGGTAGACTTGGCGCCACGCACCCCCTCCCAGCCCCGCCGAAGAGATACCTAAAAGAAACCCTGGAGATCTGAGGACGATGAACAGCTTATGAGGTAAATTTGCTGCACGGTAGAGGCACATGTAACTTCCTCTTGTACAGGCATCTATGTGAAGTTTCTGTGGTTTCTGTCTAAATCGTTAATCTGCTACTTCATAATAAGGTCAACTATATACATGAAAAATATAGTGATGAGACAATAAAAAAAATAGGGAGACGGAGAAGTTTAATTAAAAAGGAAAAAAAAAATTAAAAGGTAATTAAAAACAATTTTTAAAATGCATAAAAAACGTTTTAATAAGAAACTTTTATGTAATGATGAACTGAAAAGGAGAAAACAAATGATTTTCTTTAAATATATAATAATATTATACTATTTAAGTAACTATAAAGAAAAGCGTGGGTCACTTTATTATCTATTGGATAACTTTACTAATATTTAGGAAGATACCCAGCGTTTCTTTTGTTGTTGTTGTTGTTGTTTATTTAACCGCGAGTGTGGAAGAAGTGATAGCTTGCATTGATGTAAATTATTTTGGCGTATTTTATTATAAACAACCAAAAACTTATGAAGTTTTGATTTAGTTTTGATAATTTACTTTTGTCATAACTTGAGAAAAATCCAAATTTGGAATATTGAATGCTATAAATAAACTTTTATGAACTCACGATGACCCCAAACTGAGGCCAGCACCATTTCAAATATCTATTGCCCAAGCTATGACGTATGCTGATAATTTAAGTCAATGTGAATTCACGGTGAACCCTTGACCGTGTAGGGATTTTTCTCCCGCTGACGATCACACGCTATTTAATTGGAACTGTCCTAACGCTTTTTTATGTTGTTTTTTTATTTACCTTTTCTAATTAAAACTCACATTCATATAAAACATAAATAGATCTAGACATCTAGACAGAGCCGGCGCTAGGGGTACGCGGGGCCTATGGCCAACCATCCGCGCGGGGCCTTATATTATTTTCATTGGTGTATAATTAAATAAAACATGTACAGTGAGGCGTTTTTTTTCTTCTCAACGCGAATTAATATTTACAACGATATATGTGGTATTTTTAAGCTGTTTATCAATGTCGTATATTAGTTTTAACATTAAGACACTGATTAACAAATAATTTGTTTACTTAGAAGTGCTTTTGAAACGTTGCTTGTTTCTGTTAAGGCTTTTTGTTTGAAAAGTAAAAAATAAAACAGATATAAGTTTGAGACACGCATTAAAGAGACGATGAACGTCAGCTTCAAACCTGATTTTTTTTACATTAATGTTTATGAAAATCTTACCAGTACGTTCACAAACGAAGATCTACTTTTCTTGCCTTTCGTGAGGAAAATTCCATGATTATATCATCATAGTCCAAACTGGAGGCTATGTCTTTTTCTATTGACAGAATTGACAGACCGCAGAGTCTGTCTTGGGACATCGTTGATCTCAAATAGTTCTTGATCAACTTCAGTTTGGAGAAATGTTTTTGTTGTTTAATAACTTTCTTTGGATAGTGTATGTACTTGTCCAACGCGCCTGCTTGTGTTTTATCAAATTCTTCTCTTAAATTGCGTTTCCTCGCTTTTGATGCACCTGATTCATACTTGCGAAATCTATCTCTGTCTCTTGTAGCCATGGTGTAAAGAAAAATTGTGAAATCACTTTGAAGCAACGTTAAATCGGTCCACAGTGGCGGGTGATAGTATCGATACTTTCTCAATTTATCAAGTGTTAACAGTGGCATTCAAAGTGTGTGGATGCCGGGGAAAATAGCAAAACATTGATAGATTTCGGAATAAGCTCGAATCGTGAAAAACACTGTTTACGGCTATAGATATCCAAATGAAATGACTCTCAAATGTAATCACGGACGCTCAGTAAGGTGGAACACTGGGGGGGGGGGGGGGGTGACAGTTGGTGGGGTGAGGTGAAGGATATTAAACTGTACATTTAAATCTATGGGATGCCAAACCCTAAAAATTCAGTTCGGGTACTACGTTACTGGATCTCTGACCGTAGCAATTCAAGAGAAGGTGCGTGTTTATAGAGCGTCCGCGTATTACATTACAGATTAAGACCGCGTTCTCACAAGAGAAGGTCCATTTAGGGGGGGTGACACCAAGGCAAAAAATAGCAAAATATATAGAGAAAAACTTAAGGGGGTGCAAATCGAAAGTTTGAGGGGGGGGGGGTGCAAATCGAAAACTTGAGCTGGGTGCAAATCGAAAACTTGAGCGGGGTGCAAATCGAAAGTTTGAGGAGGGGGGTGCAAATTTTGAAAGTTTGAGGGGGGTGCAAATCGAAAATTTGCAATTTTTTTTTTCCCGGGAAGGGGCATGCCCCCATCCGCTCTCTCCCCCCCCCCCCCACCTCTGCAAGCCATCATCAGGTCACTGACTGTTTACTACAGGCACCCCCGCCTGCTCACTAAAAAAAAACGTCTTCAACGGTCCGCAAACAATAGGGGTATCTGTTTACGTTTCTCCCGATTTTACCTCCCATGTCAGGTCGGGGGCTAATTCGCGACCGCCATCTCCAGTCACCTCAGGACAATAGCGAGTCGACCGTGCCAGCGATGTGTGACACTAATGTCTTTCTTTAGAATAACGGTCTCTCCCAGTCCATGTAGAGGATAACTCACTAACATCAGCCGTGGCCTCAGTTTTAACATCCAACAATTTCGGCCATTTAGTTGGTTTTTTTTTAAATTTTATTCAGCAAAGATTATTTAAGTTTACAAACTAATTCAGGCAACAATGGCGTTGCTGAAGCGCGGGGCCCCTTCAAGCGCGGGGCCTGGGGCGACCGCCCCGTTTGCCACCCCCTAACGCCGGCTCTGCATCTAGATCTAGATTCTAGCTCTAATCCTAGTGTTTTCCTAACGTTTTTGTGTGTTTCGGTTGTGTTTAAAAAAAATGCAATATTTTTTTTTTATACTACATTCTGGTAGGTGGCGGGCAGTAGACTTTCCCTCTTGTCAGATGCCTGATAGAAATAGGACATACTGTTGTTAAACCAGATGACTAAAAATAGTATTTTAAAGGGGGATTACTTTAAAATATATGACTTTCACAAAAAGTTTAATTTAGATTAGTCACATGACTAATACCGGAAGAGGCGAATAACAAGGAAGTAGAGTTATACGTTTCGATTATATACAACTCTTATTGACCGGTAACATTTATCTTAAATTTAATTACGCCTTGTTGTTTAGGGAAATGTAATAATGTATTTTATAGCTGTTTTGTGTGACATTTTATTTCATGCTTGAGGCATAATTATAGATGATATTAAATGATAATAATAATATTCTTGAATTTTTTTCTTGATCTTATTTTTTTTTATTTTTTCAAACTAACAACAAAAGACAAAAAGTATAGGCCTACTAATTAAAATTATAGAGTGTCTAGGCCTAGGCTTAATTAAATGGATCTAGATCTAATTTAATTTTTGAAGCACGTTCTCTTTAGCTAAGAAAGAAGTATTGGAATCTATTCACTCTGCCTATTATTCTGCCAAATTTTTAATAAGTAGACAATATGAATATAGAGATAGTGCCTACCTAATACTAAAATAGGCCTACCTATTTTTTAAAATTTAGATTCTCTAAAATATATAATTTAGCGGAAATAAACTGGCATAGCACAGTGGACCAGATGAATTAGAGGTCAATATTTTTAGTTGAACCTTTAGGCCTATATCCCTAGCACAACGAACCCCCAGCAAGGCCTCAAACAAAAGAGCAGTGTTTACGCCTCGTGTGAGATTATCATGATATAAGCCGCAAACCAAAACACAAAAAACGCACATTTGATTGGTTGGCAGTTGAAGCTATCAAATACTCTTGGGGCAGCTTAAAATGTACAACAGTGTAGTGAAAATGTTTAATTATATGCCATTGACTGTCTACCATGACATTTTTCCCTATGTGGAACCTTTCAACATTGTTTCAGCATTAGGGATTCATGTGAAACACTAGCAGTTAAATGCATCCAACTTTAATTTATAACAATTTTATTCATCTTTTGAACAGTTATCATGTGGAAAGCAACAGCTGGCAGAGACATAAAAAAGGTGAATGCACCACCTTCAAGTCAAGGAGATGACGAATGGGAAACTGACCCAGACTTTGTGGTACATCTTTTTTCCCCCTTATAATTATAACACAATTTAACATAATTATTATATTATAAGCCTACATACGTTTCTATTAAAATATAGCCATTTGTTGGGTGTCAGATCAGTAATTTTAAAGTAAGATAACAAGCAGTGTTCACCAGCTTAAGACTTTGGTTAAGAGCTTTCCAGGCATTTTGAGCCAACTGTCCTTAGTGGCAGATTAACCTTCTACACAGTCCTTCTGAATCTGTTTCTTTCACTTTCTGTATTTCAGCTGCTGGGTTTAATACTTAAGTACTCTTTTCAAACCTGATGGTCCCAGTAGTCAAACTTTTAATCTATCTTTGGTCTCAGCATATAAAGTAATTGTATGCTCCACAATTTGCCCAGCAGACTTTACTTTCCCAGAGTTTAATCAGGTACCCATAGAACTGGGTGGACAGGTGCAAGATAGCAAACTGGGCATCCTAAAAGTAAAAGTATGACTAATACATCACAACCCGAATGAAGAATTAACAAATTGTTAATTTTCTTATGCAGTATTAAATTGATGCAATTTTATATTTTTAAATAGGCTAATTCTTCTTTCTTCTTCTTCTTCGTTCTTAATTTTAGTGTTGAAAGAGATCCTCTCCAACACAATTAAATAGGGCCTATACGTGTCAACTGGTTATGCGCCATTGAGGCCATTGAATGCTTTTCTTTTTTGATTTCCTTCCATAGCCTTTTTCCAACCAAGAACAAACTACAAGGCAGCAGTTGTTTCATTTTGGAGTTGTCTCTCCTAGAAGAGAGACATTTTTAAAAATGTAAATTATTCATTTTAGTGGTATAGAAGAACTTAACTTTAATGATAAATTTTAAAATAAAAGTATTGTGTTGCTTTGGCAGAATGATGTCACAGAAGAAGAGCAGAGATGGGGGGCCAAAACTATTGAAGGTTCTGGCCATCAAGGATCTCTCAAGTATGAGTTTATCTTGTTTCTTGAAGCCACTGTAAATATGCACTTTGAGAAAACACTAATCTACCATTGGAAATTTTATCTTCTGGGTGATGTGGATCACCTATTTTCCACACTTTAAAATACAAAGAAATTTGTTCTATGACTCTGATTACATTTCTAATTAAAATTAATTTCTTTTTTAAAGTTGATATGTTTTTATTTTTATAGGTGTATTAATTCTAAACAAAATAGAAAAACCTATGATTTTATTCATATAAGTTAAATTTGGTTTGCAGCACTGACATGATATAGGCTTAGTGTTGTAGTTAGTGTTGTGTTTCCATTATTTTCAAAACAAATTTTATTTTTAAATGTATATCCTTAATAATAGTAATCAACTACTAATTATTGTGTCCAGCTTGAAAAAGTTAAGAGAGCAAGTATCTATTGATGATAAAGAAAATAAAATAAAAGAGTATGATCAGGGACCTAAGGCATCAGAAGGTTATGGTGGGAAGTTTGGTGTACAAAAAGACAGAATGGACAAGGTGGGTCGCCATACTTTTACATTTGATTTAACTGTCATGTTTTGAGTTTATATTACACTAACTTTACATGTGTAGATGTTTATAGCTGATATTTAGCACATTTTATCCAAGTAATTTTTACTAAAAGTGTATGAAATTTTTTTTCCCCCTACAGTGTGTTAATTAATTGTCTTATAATCAGTCTTTAAACTTGTGAGCTATTTTTACAATTTGATCCTGTCCGCTGTGGGCATGACTATTATGAAGATGTGATACTTAATTATTCAATGTAATTAATTATTCACTTGTAATCAGTCTTTTAACTTGTGAATTATTTTTACATTTGCATCCAGTCTGCTGTAGGGCACGACTATCATGAAGACTTGATACTTAATTATTCAATGTAATTAATTATTCTCTTGTAATCAGTCTTTTAACGTGTGATTTATTTTTACAATTGTACCCAGTCTGCTGTAGGGCATGACTATCATGAAGACTTGTCCAAACACGCCAGCCAGGTCGACGTGAAAAAAGGATTTGGTGGGAAATTTGGGGTACAGACAGACCGAGTTGATAAGGTACGAAAGGCAGTCATGAGCCTCTGTTCAAGTTTCTATAGAGTTATGTAGTTTTATAAAGGAGAGCACCAACCTCTGTTATGGTTACCGTAGCATTAAATAGTTCAGTGTATCACTAGTAAAGGGGTGTAATTTTAAATATCAACACTGTTGTCATTAACATCTGCTGGGGTGTGGGCAGCTAAGCTCAGCTCCCCAACGTATTCTATAAATATGGCAAGTCTGAGACAAAAACTTTAAAACATTTCCACAGTCAGCTGTTGGTTACGATTACCAAGGCAAGGTAGACAAGCATGAGTCACAGAAAGGTTAGTGACCTGTAACCATAAACAAATGTAATCTTGAAAAATAAAGAAATAGGATAGAAACCTTAGATTAGTCACAAAAAGGTTACTGACCTGTAACCATAAACAAATGTAATCTTGAAAAATGAAGAAATAGGATAGAAACCTTAGATTATTCCATTTAGCCAAACTATATTACTTTGTTATTTCTAATTGTTGTTTGCTATAATGGCTGTTAGAAACATATACCCAGGGGCGTAGCGAGGGGGGCGGGGGGTGCGGACCGCACCAGGTGACACCATTTAGGGGGGCGACACCAAGGCAAAAAATAGCAAAATATATAGAGAAAAACTCGAGGGGGGGGGGTGCAAATAATCAAAAAAAAGTTTGTCCCTGGGAAGAGTCTCTATGCCTCTGGGGGGTGACACCATTAAGTGCCGCACCGGGTGACACCCGACCTCGCTACGCCACTGCATATACCCATAAATCATAGTGTTTTATTGCTAGTTAGCAGATGCATTTAAACATAAATTTTACATGTCACAGTAAACATACATTTTACATAAGTCACAGTAATGAACTGAAATTTTTTTCGAACACAACGTCCAACAGATTATAACAAAGGTTTTGGTGGTAAATTTGGTGTCCAGACAGACAGAGTGGACAAGTCCGCTGTGGGGTGGGAGCACAAGGAAAATGTCCCCAAGCATGAGTCACAGACAGGTGAGTCTGTGTTCACCTGCACTTGCCCTGCCACACTGTGACCGCCTGGATATTGGTTGACTCACTGATACACACATTAATAATCAACGCTTCTAACTTAAACATTTTTCTACAAAATTTTATGACCTTTTTTTATTCCATTTTGCAGCTTTAAATATATTTACTGTAAGCATGGTAAAATATGATTCATTTAATCTGCAAATGCAGCTTACTTCTATTATTTGCTTCTTATTTTCTTTTATTTTTTGCACATTTACATTTTATCTACAAAAGCAGCATTAACAACATAACTAGTTTCTCTCATAAAAGAGTTCTTCTGTAGCACACTTTTGCATTCACTTTTTTCCTAGATGTTTCTACCTATGTAGATGTTTCTTCTAGATTACACTCAAGGTTTTGGAGGTAAATTTGGTGTCCAGAAGGATCGTGTGGACAAATCTGCAGTAGGTTGGGACTATGAAGGAAAAACAGAAAAGCATGCCTCACAGACAGGTTTGGTTCTATTTCTATTGGACTAGCCGGTTGCTACCTGATCTAACTAGTGTTTGACTTCCTGTCCTGGTTTATCCTATGTGTAACTTCCTGCCTGCCTTATATAATCTCCTGTTTACATTTGCATTGCATTCATGCTCTGTATGACTTCCTTGTGTTCAAAATATCTAAGCCCCATACTAATGCATTGATTTTTTTTCTCATATTTTAATACGCAATATAAGAATGCCCTTTGAAAATATTGATGTGCATCATTTTGATTTTTTAAATTTAGCATTAATGCTTTACTACTAACAATTAAAAAAAACAAAAAACTTGCAGTTTTATGTAAATATTTCCCTACCAAGAAATAAAATTCCATGATTTTCTAAAGTTTAACAGTAGCTATAATTACTATAAACATTGTATGATCTTTACTTTTAAATACATTCCATGTTTTCCTCATGTGCACACATGTTTACATTTTTTGTGTATCTCCTTGTGCCGCCCTTCCCTGCTGCTTGCACCTTGTCAGATTTTAGCCAAGGGTTCGGGGGCAAGTTTGGTGTCCAGTCAGACAGGCAGGACAAGTCAGCCATGGGCTACGACTACCAGGAGAAGCTACAGCAGCATGAGTCACAGAAAGGTTGTTCACACAATCACGCTTACATTTTCACTACAACCACACAATAATGCTTACATTTTCAATACAATCACACAATCACGCTTACATTTTCACTACAATCATGCTTACATTTTCACTACAATCACTCTTACATTTTAACTACAATCACACAATCATGCTTACATTTTTACCACAATCATGCTTACATTTTAACTACAATCACACAATCATGCTTACATTTTCACTACAATCACACAATCACGCTTACATTTTAACTACAATCACACTTACATTTTCACCACAATCATGCTTACATTTTCAATGCAATCATGCTTACATTTTAACTACAATCACACAATCATGCTTACATTTTCACTACAATTATGCTTACATTTTCACTACAATCACACAATTATTTTTACATTTTCGCTACAATCATGCTTACATTTTCACTATAATTGTGCTTACATTTTCACTAAAATAATGCTTATATTTTCACTAGAATTACACAATCATGCTTACATTTTCAATACAATCATGCTTACATTTTCACTAGAATCAAACACTCTTGCTTACATTTTCACTACAACCATGCTTACATTTTCACTAGAATCAAACAATCTAGCTTACATTTTCACTACAGTCATGCTTACATTTTCACTAGAATCAAACAATCTAGCTTACATTTTCACTACAGTCATGCTTACATTTTCACTAGAATCAAACAATCTAGCTTACATTTTCACTACAGTCATGCTTACATTTTCACTAGAATCAAACAATCTAGCTTACATTTTCACTACAACCATGCTTACATTTTCACTAGAATCAAACAATCTAGCTTACATTTTCGCTACAGTGATGCTTACATTTTCACTACAGATCAGTACAATCAAGCTTTCATTTTCACCACCTCCATGCTTATATTTTTCTGTTCCATAACCCTTGATACCAATGTTCTTAATATTTAATTACTGTTGTTTTAGTGAAAAAGTTAAAAAAAAGATAATGGTTATTTAAGGAAAAGATTTGGCCTCAGCCAAACAGGTGTTTGATGTAAAAATGTTCAGTAGCCCAGGTGCATGAACCTCTTGTATGTTTACAAACTGCTTAGATCACGGGTTCCCAACCTGGGGGTCGCGACCCCCCTGGGGGTCGCGAAGGCCTTTCTGGGGGGTCGCCAACTGGTATACTAAACCTAAGTAATTTGAAACAAAACATAAATACTTAGAAGAATTTTTTTAATTCGGCTTCATTAACATCACTGGAAATGTAATAGAGAAGAAACAAAGCGCACTGTAGAAAGTTGTTCTCAGTCACGAATCTATGAAATCTACAAAACTAAAACGTCATTTGAGACGAGTCACACCAAAAAAATATATGGAGTTCTTTCGTCGGTAAGAAGCTAGTTGCAAACGCCAGAGACTTGATCGAACAGGAAGTTTTCACCAGCATTAGTGCAAGCATCAAATGAAACGCGATAGAAAATGCCAAGCAAAAAAAATAGGAGAAAATCTCATCAAACGCTGTATGTACGTAGATGTTAAATAACACATTTTTATTGAAATTAAGCTTTCACCATTGTTTGCTTTTCAAGTTGATAAATCAACAGACGTGAGTCCGTGTTCGCAGTTGCTGGTCTGTGTCTATATTTATGCGGATGATAGCAAAGAAGAGTTGCTTTTTTGGGAAGATAGCATGGAGAAAATAAATACCTTTTTTGAAACTGGATGATTAAAATGGGTTAGAACGGCTGTTGGAAATTGTACGGATGGTGCGCCATCTATGTTTAGCTCAAAATCGGGCTTTCAGAAAACAGAAAAGATTTAGCTCCCTAACCACTGCCCTACCCAATCGACATCAAGAGTCCATTGCTAGTATAAGTCGTAAATTATACAAAATTTGGAGCCGTCAAAGAACTGAGCAAAAACATTAATATAGATCACGAAGTTCTGCTCTTCTACACTTCAGTACGCTGGCTGTCAAACGAAATGTTGTAAATTGTGTTTTTGAATTGAAATCTGAAATCAAATTGTTCTTGGAAGTGCAAAGGAAACAAGACTTTTTGATATACTTAAAACGACATAGAGTGGTTGGAGAGAGTATCATACCTAGCAGATGTGTTCGAACATCAAGATAAGCTTAACCTGAAGCTTCAGGGAAAATGAACGAATATTATAACTTTCCATGATAATCTCGGGGCATTTTTATCAAAGCTGCAAAATCGGTAAAGAAAATAAATCTTGGAAATATTGTAAAGTTGAGAAACTCTGCGGTGTGGTAGATGAATCTGATTGTGAGATAATTAAAATTTTAAAAGATACGATTTCTGGGCATGTTGAATCTCTTGAAAACGAACTGCATCGCTATTTCTCTGAGCTGAAAAAAGAAGAATCTGCATTTACGCATTACCCATTCTCTTCTTCCCTTGTTGTTGCTAGCATTCCGGATGAATTACAAGATGAATTCTTTGGTTTGCAGAATGATTCCGAGTAAGATGAAAAACTGCAGACACAATTTTGGTGTAGTATTCACCATTCATGCTATTAAAACAGTTATCAAGAGTAGTTCATATTGAAAGTCTACTAGAAAATCTTATTTTAGTGCTTATTAATTTCCACACTAATTTCGGCTTTTTAATTCTATGGGGGTCGCGGGTCACTTACTTTTTATAAAAGGGGGTCGCCACTCAAAAAAGGTTGGGAACCACTGGCTTAGATAGATGAGATGATGTGTTTAATAAGAGTGATGACTAAACAATGCATGTATAGGCATGAGATGCATTCAAAATGCAAGAAATAACAGTAAAAATTATAAACTGCATTGTGATTAAATTGTATTAAAGGAAACTTAGAGTTTATTAATTAAACATAAAAAAAAAACAGCTAAGTATTACATTTTTTAAGGATTGTAGTTACCGAAAATTCCCTTTAAGGAAATAAATAATTAGATTATTCAGTATAGAAGCTTGGATAGATCATTCTAAGACATCACTACTAGTAAATACAAACAAAACAGTACATACAAATTTATGGATTTGTTGATCTTATGAGTAGAGGGTATGTTAGAGGGTCACATGATTTTGTGGGGAGATAGGGTGTATGGAGCTTGGAGTTTTTTCTTTTAAATTCTAATTATTATTAACAAGTATTAGGGCCTACTGAAAAATATTAAATAATAATTGAAATCGATACAACACTTGATAACAGACAGAATTTAACTAAGTTCACATGATTAACATACTACATCTACGAGGCTTTAGAGTTTCATTTAAATAGCTTTTTTTCCTCCTCCTCTCTCTCTCTCTCCCCCCCCCCCCCTCCCCAACGAGTGGAAACATTATTATCCCATTTGCTTTCTTTGTAATGCTTAAAGAATGGTTGAGAAACTGTGATAAAACTTATTGAAACTTTGATTGCTCTGCCATCAGACTTCAGCAAAGGTTTTGGTGGAAAGTTTGGTGTACAGAAAGATCACATGGATAAGTCAGCTGTTGGCTACGACCATCAGGAGAAACTTGAAAAACATGAATCACAGAAAGGTTAGAATCACATCTTGCAGGGGTCATTATATATTGTGCTGGGATGACAGGGGTCATCATATATTGTTAGGTGATTATTTTTAGGTGATTATTATTAGGTTATAATTTATTGTGCTTGGATAGCAGGGGGCATAATTTATTGTGCTAGGATGGCAGGGGGCATAATTTTTATTCTGCTGGGATGGCAGGGATCTTAATTTATTGTGCGTGGATAGCTGGGGTCATAATTTATTTTGCTTTGATATCAGGGGTCATAATTTTTGTGCTAGGAGTGCTGTGGTAATTTTTTAGTGTGCTGTGAATTATGTGATGACTATATATTTGATGCATATTTAAAACTTGTCATTGTGGCTAAAGCAATTACAACAGCAGATGCTGTAGCAAAATAGATTGATTACTCTCACCTTTTCCACCAGATTATTCTAAAGGTTTTGGGGGTAAATTTGGTGTACAGTCAGACAGACAAGATAAGGTAACTTTTGTTGAAGATGTTCTTTGTTTTATTAATAGAACTACTCCAGTTGTATTATCAGTTTTTTCAAAACTTCATTCTGGTTGAATTATTTTCTATAGATGGAGCTGTAGTTCAAATATTAATTGTTTGTATATAATTTAGTAAAATGTTTTTTAAGAAATTTATTTTTCAATTCAGACTGCAGGTTCCTATGATGATATGGAAGGCGTTAAGTCAGGGTATCAACGTACACAAGCAGATAAAAGTAAATAAACATTTTACATCTGTCTAAACATTTGTGAAACAGAAAGTGTAAGCCTGTATTTTTATACCCTTTTTTCATTCTACTTTGTCTGTTGTGGTCAGGTTCCGAGGGAGCCAAAAATTTAAAAGCAAGATTTGAACAGATGGCTAAAAGTGGGGATGAAGAGGCACAGAAGAAAGCTCAGCAGGAAAGAGAGAAGAGAGAAGCGAGGGAGAAAAAAGAAAGGGAAGAACAAGAGAAACAGAGACAGGTAAATTGGAGGGACTTCTTTTGTCAATTGTTTGTTAGCTGATAAAATATGTCTGTCATCTTAGAAAATTGTCCTAAACAAAAGGTATTTGTATTTAGAACATGTTAATCATATGTAACATTATATATATATATATATATATATATATATATATATATATATATATATATATATATATATATATATATATATATATATATATATATATATATATACACACACACATATTTTTTTATTTATTTATGTACACTGAAACTTACTTTAGGTATGTTTTGGTTTATAGTACTTACAATACTAATATATATTATGTTGAACTGTCAGATGTAATTAGGTGCTCTCAGTGAAACTAATTAACTAATTAACACTGATTGTGAATAATTTGACCACCAGGCCAAACTGGAACAAGAAAGATGGGAGAGTGAGCAGCAACAACAGGCAGACACCAGCAGCCAGCCAGAGCCTGACGTCTACAACCAGCCAGACCCGGAGCCCGCACATTTCACAGCCCCCAAGGTCCAGCGGCCCAGGATGCCAGAGCCCGAGCCAGAACCCCAGCCGGAGCCTGACGAGTACGATGAGCCGCCTCAGGTAGACGATGCATACAACGAGTCCGGGCATGTGGAGGAGAGTTACAACCAAGCCTCCCAGGATGACTTGTACAACCAGCCTGAACAGGAACCTGAGCCAGAGGTGCACACACCTCATGTTGGGGGTGTAGGAGGGCTCACTGCCATCGCCCTCTATGATTACCAAGCCAGTAGGTTCCAGTTTTATTTTCTTATTACTTTAACCACATTAGAGAAACATTGGATTAAGATTGCACTTTAAGCTTAATTTATAGATATCTTTTTAATATAAGCCATGTCATTCCAGCATCCCCCAAAATCTTTTCAGGACTTGTCTTGCCTCCCTTCTTTCTCCCCTTATGGGTTTCACTCTTTTGCTTTCTTTAGTCATTTGAAACCCCCTAGACAATCTACACTTTTATTATATTGTTACTTTATCTAATGTTAATTAAATATTAAAAAATAAATTACATTGAATTTCATTCTTACAGCTGATGAAGATGAACTGACCTTTGATCCTGATGAAGTTATTACTGATATTGAAATGGTAGGTTGTCTTCCAATTTAATCATTAATCTTCCCAGTTTATCATTAGTTTTCCCAGTTAATTATTATATTATAAATAACTAATTCTGTCCTGATTTAGTAATCTAATAAGTTTATCATCTAAATTAAATATATCTAAAAAACTGAAATTCCTAGGTGGACGATGGCTGGTGGCGCGGCACATGTCGGGGAGTGTCTGGTTTATTTCCTGCCAATTACGTGGAGTTGCAGCAAAAATAAATTGTCACATCTGGTGGTGAGAAGTTAAATTTGATGAAAACACCAAAAGTTGCCTGCACACGTAGTTCCCCATGTATGATTACAAAGCTGAGCTATCCGTCTATCGATAACTGAAGACAATATTTTATTTTTAAATGTTTTCTTATGCCTACAAAATTATTTATTTAATTTATCAATCATCTAGTGTATTTTATGGAAATTAAAACTTTTTTAAATTATGGGGAACAAAATATTCAGGTAAAAAAATATTTAAAATATTTCCCCAAATGGGGACCAACTGTAGAATATGAACAACATTGTTGATAGTTGTACAATAATATAAATATTTTTGGTATATTACATTCACCCTGTGCAGAAGGTTGGCTTATTCTATTTTAAACTATACACACTCATGGGATGACATGAGTTCTCTCCCTTCTCACTGGTTATTGTAGTGCATATCAAATATTTGGCCTACAGATGAGAAATATGATCCCGGAACATGTACTGTCAAAATAGAAATACTGACCTTTTAAAAATAGCCTGTACTGCCAAAATCCGTTCAGTAACTCATTTCAATCTCTTAATAAAAATCATATTTTAAATTTTGTTTTTATATCAAATAATTATCAGGTTACAAATTAATTGTTTAAAAAAGGGCAGTGCAGGCTAACTTTGATTTCTAGCACTTCATGTTTTTGGCAGTAAGGCTTTCATCCCACTTATTCACAAGTCTTAGTCTACATGCTGATCTAAAAGTAGGTGTGGCTGCATTTTCATGAGCTCTTTTAGAATTGATTAATTTCATTTTACTATGTTAAATTCTTTCCGAGGTTTTTAGTAAATTATTCTTTTGAAAATTCAACAGCAGTTTTAAATTGTAAGTTATACATGTATATCTTTAACACTCAACCTACTCCCCCTTGAAAGTTAATTTTTCAATTGTTTTAAAATATGCTTTATTAGTTAAGCTACATGCAGTTTCTTTATTTTTTAAAAAATATTGATTCATCTGTCATATACTAATTACTTGCATTCCAAATAATCAACAGTTTACTTATGAAAGTGTATAAATTGAATCCAGCTATTCAAATCCGTGATTATTGGGGAAGCAGGTTTGTGGTTGCCTAGTGTGGGTGTTGTCATGAAATTTGTATCTTTGTGGTGTATCAGATGTGTGACAGCAGGCTAGTGTCAAGTATTCTCAAACCTTTTGCTCATAGGATTATGTTCTCCTGTACCAAGCATTACACATGTTATACAACCAAATACTTTTTTATATCATATGTATGTGATGATGAATATGTCTAATATATTGCTAGCAATGCTGCCTTTGAGATGTATTGTCATTTGATAAACTATTTACTATTTAAGTACGAGTCTTTTTAAAAAAAAATAAATGAATAGTTGATCATGTAATAGCTACTATTGCTGCTAGCAGTTATTTTATGCATTTTATTTTCCACTACTGGAATTAATCATTTACGTCTTAATTTTAGTTTTAAAAATTGAAATTGCATATTTTTCCACAGAGGCAAAATACTATGCAAATGAAAATTTAATTTAAAGACTAAAATATTTTATTTGCAATAATTGCCATATATAAATGTCCATGCGTTTATGAGTTCGATTTTTTATTTATTATGTTATTGTTGATGTCACTATTTTAATATTCTTGACAAATTGTATTCTACAAATAGTGGTAAATAAGACATAACACACAATACTAAAAGCATATCCATATTTAAATACAGCTGTAAACATGAATATATCACAGTTACTTGGCAATGGTCTAATTAGGATTGCACACACTAAAATAATAAATAACTAAGGAAAACATGTCAGATTTGAAATAGTCTTCATAATAAATCAAAAGTTGCATATTAGATTACCATACAAGGTAACTTGCATATGTTTTGTAGATTTTATTATAAGATATAGGGCAGGTTTAAATTTTAACTTTCTGAAATAATTATGAAGAGCAAACTGAACACCCTACTCCTTTCACTAAACATCAAGGGCTAATACCAAAATAATCTGATGAGACTAGAAAGACATTTGGCCTAAGAACATTAAAGGTTAAAGAGCACCTTGGAATTTAGCATGAGAAACTAAATTGTGCTGCGATTTTTCTAGGTGGGTTGTGTCATTAAGTACCACGCATTCTATACACTTTGCACAAACACGACTAGATGAACGAGACACTGACATGATGAGTCTGGATACACCTGTGTTGGGGCTTATCCTGCTAACTTCCTGTGCGTTCCTGCCTTCTAATTTCCCCTTGAACCTGTCTAGAAGAAGACGGCTCAACTCCCTAAGGCAGAGACCGTGGCTTACAATTAATACACTAGCACTGTCTATGTTTGCGTTGTCTTGATCACTGCTGTAAGAAGATCTGGCTGGGGAGTGGCTGTTGGCCTGACTGGGGGGAGAGGCTGGGTGACCGTTTTTATGATGGGGTTGAAGGTCTATGACATGGTGGTTAGAAGGATTCTCCTCATGGCTGTTTTCTAAGTTGATGTTCGGAACTTCAATTGTAAGAGGGACGTTTACACTGGTGATCATGCTTGCATGGCTTGAAACTGCTGAAACAGTGTAAAACCAAGTACAATAAAAAACAAAGAAGTAAAATATAATGTGTTTGAAAAGGATATAGTTAGAAATTTCTAAGATTTACTTTAAATAATTATTTTAATTCATTCCTTTCATAGCGGTAATCCATTTATAACATCCACAAGAATTTTGAGTTTTAGACCCCCCCCCCCCCCCCCCCCGATGTGGACTTTTCAAAGCTTTCATCTAGGAGACATTCTAACTTTCTTGCTAATGTGTAATAGGATAAGAGTTCAGAAAGTTTGATGAAACTTTCACAAATGTGCTAGAAACTGAACTTAAGACAGAAATTCAGGATGCTAAAAGTTGTTTAATAAATTAGTTTTCCAATTTATTTGGTTTTTTTAAACACCAGTACTGCTTAATTAATACACAGGCTTTTATTTGAATCAAAAATGTAAATGAATCAATGTTGAATTCAGTATAGGGACGTCATAAATGGATGATCCTTACCTGGGTTTTGAACCTGAGCCAGAAATCCATCTTCTGCAGTACATTCACTATTGTTCATCAGCGGTTCTGCCATTAATTTAAATAAATCATCTAAGAAACTGATGACCCTGGCGGTAACCTAAGATTTAAAAAGAAATTCCTCACAAAATCTGGCACAGTAGAGTATTATGTATTGCAAAAATCTTTTATGTGTAACCATAATCTACATAGTCATCCCAACCTTTAGCAGCACAGATTAGTTCCCATATTAACCAATGCTTCATCTCCTGTATCACCAACTTCAGGGGTTGAAGGAATGGCTGGAAAGTCATGTGACCTGTGATAAACTGGCCAGAGTTAAAGAAACCCTTATATGGACTCACCTGTTCCATGGTCTCGCCACCTTCTGGGGTAAAGGAATGGCTTGAATGTTTGGATTTGGCCATTGCTTCCCTGAATTCACTTAGAGGTTTCCCTTCTAACCAACCAAATCCCTGGCGATGCAATAGATGTATACATGTACAGAGAAACATCAACTAATTAGCAACACTATGATCTATGCATCTGGTTACCACAGTGATTAAAGCAACAAACCCTTTCTCTTAGTCGTTTATCAGTTTTCAGGCTGCAATGGGATTGTCTGTTTGCCTGAGCAATGGCCTTTGCTGTATCTGCAGCCCGTGTTAAGTCGCTGGTGAACATGTGAGTGAACTTGAAATCTTGCAGGTGAAGGCCAAGCAGCTGGGCTTGTCTCTGGCCAAGGTCAGACAGCTGGGTGTCAAGCTGACCTGTTTAAAAAAAAATTAACATACTGTAATTTATTTTTAAAAAAATTATGTAGTTAATTTAGAATTTTTTAATTGAAAAAATAGGGATGGCAGTAATTAAGCAATTGAATGCTTTCCTCTAGTTGTAAGTTTGTGCCTGTTTTACTATTACTACGTTGAACATTTATTTAACAGTTTATAGGATGAAGAAAATGTCAAAGCAAGATTAAACACAATGTTCAAAAGTTCAATTACTGAAATCCTATTCACACCATAAAGAATGGTTCTTATAACCTCTGCCCCATTATGCTAACCTTCTCTGATAGTGATAGTTGCTAAGCATTCAAAAGTCATGCATTTTTTGCAAGATGCTCAAGCCTTACACATACATATTTTTGTTCACTTTGTCTTTATAAGGCTACATAGAAAAGCATGATGACACTCTATTTTACTCTATCTTAGAGTCTCTATCTTAGAGTAATCAAACATTTTTACACTTTTCAAGTTCTGGTTATATTCATGTTCTGCTCTTATTGTCTATTCAATGAACATGTTAATAATTCCTTCAGTAAAGCAATACCTTCACATATTGCCACTAACTAAATTGAAGTTTTCTAAGGCATTCCCTCTTGCTTCACACTTTAATAGATTTTATTTGATTTGCTAACTAAATGATCTAATACTAAATATATGCATAAACCCTTGCCCTAATAGTTAACATCTAAATATTTACCTTGCATTATGTTATCTCGATTAGAGAGAGTTTCTCCACTGAAAAATAAAATTACAGAATATTAAAATAGGCTATCTAGTAGGCCCTAAATCTATATATTAATTAGGCAGTTCTAGGTCTATATACTCATGATTATAAGCATCTCCACTACTGGGTGAAAAGTTTAAATTTAAGGGGTTGCTGGGTGTTTGGTTCTGCTAGCAGCTAGCTAGGCCGCAGGGCAAGGCCTCTGGTCATTCATTAAAATTGTGATGGGCAACTTGAACTTACAGATTACTAAGATTACACATCATTACAGACAATTCTGAGTTCTAGAAAAGATTTAGAATAATCTAGATTCTACTTTTAAATTAAAATGTACTAATGTATGTAGTGAACTGAGTGTGTAACAGTTAACACAGTTAACAGTATGATAATTTTTTTAGTATGATATAATAATATAATAATAAACAATAAATTTAAATAGGCCCTATAAAAATAAATATTAAATAATAAATAAATAATGAGTAGAACTTGAGTTAGTATCACAGACTATTAACTAGATCTAGATTATATCTATCTAGACTAGACTAGTCAGTGAGTGTTCACTTCATGCTGTGTAGTAGTGTAATGAACTCAGAACTGTAGTGTAAGTGTAGTTTAGTGTGTAGAGTGTAGTGCTGTAGTTTTTTGTCTTTTGTGTGTGCTGAAATGAAGTTTTTTAAGTATAGTTTTAGTAGTTCTAGACTTTAGTATTCTAGAACTAGATTTACTTACTGTCTTACTAGTGTGACCGTAAAAATCCGATTCATAGTTAAAAGGTGGAATAGATATAATCAAGATCTAAATCTAGAATAGATCTAGAACTAGATACAAATCTAGTCACTAGTCTACTGGCCGAAGAGACAAATAAATGAAAATAAAAAACGAAAGAAGATATGGTAAAAGTAAACTTTTAACCTGAAGACTGAAACCAAAAGTAAACGATTGTGTATTTCAAAAGTGAAGAACTTTTTTTACTCTAAAATTAGCTATCAAATTTTAATTAAAAATAAATAAATTTAACTCTAAATGACAAGTCTAGTTCTATAGGCCCCTGTCGAACTAGATCTAGACAAGATATTATCTAGTGCTAGAATCTGGTTTAAATCTAGATATTTTATGCCTATAAAATAAAAGTTTAACGATCGATCTAAATATTGTAGGCCTAATAATTAGGCAAATAATGTTCAGTATTGCTTCATCTAAACAACATTACTCCCTTTTGACTATTTTTAACCGCATCTACATCAGCACTGCTAAAAAGAGAGTCCCCCCCCCCCCCCCCATCCCAACCTAACGTAACTAGCACCGCCGTGTATTTTTTAGTAGAGGGATGTAACCAATGTGAGTTAATTTTGCCGCAAATATTAATTGAGTAGTTTCCCTTTGCAAGAAAATTTTTAGGGACTAACATTGTGTTCTGAGAAAAGCCGGATAAAATTAAAAAGCAGCTGTGTTACGCCGCACTTCCTGACCCCCCCCCCCCCCCCACATTGTAGCTATAGATTAACTATTCCACACCCCCCCCCCCCCAACACCACTTCTTCTAGGATTTTGCCGTCATGGATAACCCCGAAGCTTTAATTTGAATATAAACTTTTTTAAAGTTTAAGGTAACTCAAAAGGTAAAATGGACAAGAATACATATTCTTTCGTCCATGTCATCAAAAATGATTGTCCCTCTCAGTTGCCATTTCAAAAAACAGGTGGCAACTAGATGGTATGCAAATGATACATTTTCATTATTGGTCTTTTGATTCTGATGTTGAAAGTTTAATCACAATTATAGTAATACGAGCCGGCCCGCGGCATAACATACGCCGCTATTTAGTTGTTTCTAATTTTCAATAATTCATAATTTGTGAATTCGACAGTACCAACGCTGACACTGAAAATATTTCTTTAAAACACTATAAGTAGCTCGTTAAGGACCATAACCCCCCCCCCCCCCCCCTTCCTTCCCTCCCCCCCCCCCCCCTTACGTTTAAAATCGTTGGCTCTGCTTGTAAACATTTAGAGTGAACACAGCTCACTAAAACCATGTAGGGGTGGGGAGGTAGGGAGAGCGTTTGCAGCTTGTTTTCTAACGGCTCGAAGAAGAGAATTATATATATAGATAAGCAATCTCAGTAAGTAAACTGTACCGGTATAAGCAGCTTACACATTATGGTAAGAGAAATCACCTCACTGTGAATTAGTGACATTTTTTGTTGTTGTCTATGTACAAGTTGTACATTGAAGTAAATTGAACTGTGCGTGACATGGTGAACTATTTATAAAAAGTTGGTAAATTTACCCAAGAAGATTTCCCTTACCCTGATTTGACATGTTTATGCTAATCTCATCAAATTATACTAGTTTATCCCTTTCTTCAAAACTGCTAGACACATATCTTCAACATTGCTCCCTTCCAGTGCCTAAAAATCCTGTCAACATCCAAGTAATTATCTAATATTTTTCATGGCAACAACAATTAATGTAACAACACTGTAAAGATTTTGTATTAGAAGACAGTTAAGCTCTAGGACTATTGTGTACAAACTAATGTAACACACACATCTTGGTAAGAATTTTTATTAAAATATCAATACAAATAGTTATGAAATTCAATTTTACACTTGTCTTTTTTTCAATGTACAGGTTAATATTAATTTCTTTCTGACTTAAAAAATGCCTAAATCTATTTGAATACATGCGGTATTTTACTAAGAAGATACACATGTAAGAAAGGAATTTCAGCTTTGTATCATTAAGATTAACTTAAAAGTAAAAGATTTTATAAAAAAAAATTAGTTTTATGCTTTTCTGCTAATCACAAAAATGTTAAAACAAATTAAAACAACGCTCATATTTTAAACTGCTGAGGGTGTCTAACTCAATAAATATGTAGCCATTTGTTGCTACCTACTGTTAAAAGTAAGTGGAGTATGTTATAACATGCTAATTCCAGTGGCAACTGGGTTACAAATTTAACCCAAACTTAACTGACAGTAACAACCTAGAATACACTGTTCTGCTGCAATCAGAGTGAATGAAAATGTTAAAAGCCTCTATTAAAAATAAATTAAATTTTAAGTTATTTTCATGCAATTGAAGGAATGCATCTTTAGCAAATTTAGTATAGAAAAGTTTACTGTTCAAAGCAGTATAAACATTGCAAAGCCAGGTATTAGAAATAATAAGTGTGAAATGGCTACACTGAACATACAAAATGGATTTACACATAACCTAACAAAATTCATCTCCAGACAGCTCTTTACACATTTTGTATTCATGTACATAAACTGCTCAGAATTGAAGATACTTTTAGTAAAAAAAGAATTTACTGCAGCTTCTATTTCAGGTTTTCATCCCTCAATTCTTCAGCTTACCATAGCTTAAGAAAAAAATGGACACCATTGATTGAAAACAACAAAAACTATAAAACACCTTTAAAAAAATACACTTTCATTTTAACATATGACTTTGGGTTAAAATTGCAACACTTTTTATGTTACAATCATTTGGTTATTTTTTTAAATGGAAGTTTGTGAACATATTATTTACAGACAGTTTTATAACTTTGTATATTTTGTCATCAAAATTGAATATTGTACAATACAATACACAAAGTCTATCACAAATAATATCTACACACAATTTCATCGCCTAAACAATGAAAAGCTTTGTTTGCTTGGCAACCTTCCATCTTTACTGAGCACGGCAGCTTCCATATCCTCATAAGCTGGCAGAGAAGACAAACTTCCATAGGCAGCAACAGACAGTTTGCTTTTCAACATGCGTGAGGCCACCCGCTGGATGTCTTGTGCTGTTACACTCCCTGGGAAACAGATACAAGCACTGATCAACAACAACACAAGAGAATAATTAACCCTTTATAGGCTGTGATTGCTGGAGAAATTTCTTTTGTGGTACAGTCTGATGCGACCATATTTTCAAAAATATGTTTAGCATACTGATTTACGCATGAGAACACAAGTCTAGGTACCAACGAAAGGGGGGAAATAAGTTTTATTGGTGTTGTTTTCTTGTTGCTCTACTAATTTTTTCTCTCAAAGTTATGAATTAATACTAATTGAAATGTCTCTGCTGTTATTTTATTTATTATTAGTAAATTATAAAACTATTTAAAAACCTTATGCATAATAAACTGAGACAATTTCCTGTAAGACGTTTTATTTTGTTTAGTTTTTTTTTTAATGTGTGTGGACATTTTAAAATAACTTTTTTAAACAAGTGCCATAGTTGAAAAATTTGTCATCTATTTGGCTGTCATACGAGAATGACATTTTTTAGAAAATTGTTACCAATTTGAAAATATTCAGGTGTATATAATATTACAAATGTTCATTACCTATTTGATCATAATAATATTGAGGTGTACGTCTTATTGAACCAGACAGCACCTGGCGTCCAATATCTTCAAACACTACTGGCCGAGCCTCAAGATTCATCATCAGCATGGACTGTAACTGACATTTGGCTCTGCTTAATTCATCCTAAGAAAAGAAAGAACCATAGCAAATATATACATCTTTTTAAAACACCAGACTATAAACAAGGTGAAAATAAATTACACAATTTATAGATTCCCTTTAACTAATTATTTTTAAAAAGTTAACAAATATACCCACATCAAATTAATTGAGAAAAAAATAAATATTTACCTGGTAAGGCTTGCTTGCTGTGAACACAATTTCCCTTAAAATCACCTCAACCAGATCTCTGAGCTAAAAACAAAAATTTCAACCTTTAACAAACAGCTTATGAAGATCATTAGAACATATTAGGGTGAGCTATGATTTAAAGAGTTGAAAGCACTGAGTTGAAGTAATTAGAAAGAAATGTTTCTGACCTTTGAAGGATGTGAGCTGGCATGAATACAGAACAAACCACTGTCATCATAAGCATGATTGTAAGCTGTGGCATTTTCTATCCAAATATGCCTGGCGATACAGACCAATCGAAACAAAATTAATTTTACTTATACAAGCTACTTATCACAATTACAATTAAGTATATTAGATCTAAATGGAAAAAATAACCACAGAATATAGTAGCCTTTTAGTTACTATTGAATGGATGACTACCTGTTGAGTACATTGAGGTACAAGCGTGTGTACATTCCTTTGCCTGGACCACCAGCAGAGAAGGAGCCACCCCCTCCAAGCATCATATTGAGAACACAAAATGCAATGAAGTCTGGATCTTTGTGGCTGCAGCTCTCCAGGCCAAAGACAATGTGAGCTAACTCAGGCATTGGTGTGGGTCCCAGACTCACATTGGAGAGATCTTTTTCCACCTAGAAATTGTCAAAGATTTTGTTAAACAGCCATTAACATGGTATGGAGCTGTGTGCCCACACAATCCCTCTACTATAAGCTAAGTTAATGAAAAAAACCTCTATTTGCCTTAATCACAATCAGGCCTAATAGAGCAAGTTTACTTGTTTTTTAAACATATGAAACATATAATTAAATACAGTAAACCATGGTACCTTTTGATGATTAACTGGTATGGCTTTTTAATGAGAAAAAGTTTATAATCACCTGTAATACACCACCTGTGTATTGGGATGTACATTTGGTTTCATTCTCATGACTAGTCCACTCTTCTCCCTCTGATAACCAAATTGGCCTCTTCTCTTTCACAAAATATTTTTGAGCTAAATCAACAAGTTTATCATGCTCTACTCCTACTCCTGCAATGACTGTGTTTTTAGGGTGGTGTTTTTCTTTCATGTATGAGTATAGCGTGGGCCGTGTAATTATGTTTGTATTTTCTACAGGACAAATACGTGGCAGTCCCAGAGAGTTTCCTTTGTAAGCTGCCTGCAGAAAACAATAAAAACAGAAATAGTAAAAAAGAACATTGAATTTTCATTTAATTCTCAAAGAACCAGTCTGAAGTTATGAACTAGAAGTTGGATAACTTACAGCATGAATCATCTCTACCAGTAGCTGTTCAGGGTTAGGATCCATGTGCATGGCTTCAATCTCAAATCTAATTGCTTGACGAGCATCCTCCAGCTGCAAAGTGCAAACAAATGTCACTAACTAGTTTTAATACAATGTCTGATTAAAAACCTCAGCACAAATAATCTTAAATTAATCTTTTAAAACAACAAAATCAGGTTAAAGTAGATTAGAAAATAGAAATGTTTACAACTGACTCATAGTACACTTAGGAATAACAGATTTTATGTTTTTGTAACAGCTTTCCCTACTTTTGGCTTCAAAGATAGAATTACTTATAGCCCTAGCTTGATGTGGAATGAAACCCAGGACCACTGCATCAACAATAATTATTATATCTTTTTACACACATAAATTAATTTAAAAAATACATTCTGCAAACTTTTTAACAACTTTCGTTTAACAATCAGATTTCATAAAGTCTTTAATATAAAACTAAACTTAAGTGAATGAAAAACCTGCTGTTTTTTTTTATTTATAAAAACTGAAACAATTCAGATTTCATGACGAAACAACATCCCAAATTTTAATATTTTACAAATAGATAAACAATAATAATTAACCATGCTTGCATAATTAATAGCCTGTAAAAATAACTATAACAGCATATAACTACTGCCTGCAAATGACTTTGCTCAATGAAAAATGAGAGGTTGAATCATGAGATAAACTGTGCAATTGATCCTTCAAGAAATAACTTTCCTTACTAGCCATAGCACTTAGGGACAAAGTGAGTTCAGACTTAATAGATATAACCATAACCTCATCTGCGTAGATGCAAGTCTAATAATTATACAGGTATAGGTTTGTTGTGAGACTAATGCAACCTAAATTATCAGACTGTAAACCAATGAACCAGGAAATGAAAGTTGTCAAAAGACACTATGGATTAAAGTTGATTACGATTATTTAAGCTTGAAAGGTTTCTGACTAAATTAGAATATACATTTTTTTAATAAAACATTTTCAAGATTTACTTATAGAAAACCTTTTAAGTATGCAGCTGTAGTGAACAGCTAATAGGATATGACTAGAGGAAACAGTTACCTGGTCATCAGGATAGGATGGCTTCAGCACTACATCAGATAAAATGTTCATGACAGTGTCCAGGCCATGTGTCCTGGCTGATGCAGCATAGACCAGAGTATCTCTGTAAGATAAATAGATCACATTGTCAGGATATGATTCAGGTCTTTAGTAGATCACATTGTCAGGATATGATTCAGATCTTTAATAGATCACATTGTCAGGTTATGATTCAGATCTTTAATAGATCACATTGTCAGGTTATGATTCAGGTCTTTAAAAGATCAGGTTATGATTCAGATATTCAATAGATCACATTGTCAGGTTATGATTCAGATCTTTAATAGATCACATTGTCAGGTTATGATTCAGGTCTTTAAAAGATCAGGTTATGATTCAGATATTCAATAGATCACATTGTCAGGATATGATTCAGGTCTTTAAAAGATCAGGTTATGATTCAGATATTCAATAGATCACATTGTCAGGATATGATTAAGATCTTTAACATATACATGATACAGTTAACCTATGTTAGGATTCACATATACAAGAGATCACATTGTTAATTAACATATATCCAGATTTAGAACTTCAATAAATCATCAAGTGAAATTCTAGCTAACAAAAACAAGGATAAGTTTGCCATAAGAGATAAGACAGCAAAGTCGATTACTTTATTACAGTAAAAAAAATTTATAAAGTCTAACCACATCTTACCTAGAACCTTGACAGTCACAGATCCCTCCCACTTTCTCAAGCTCTTGTAGAATCACATCTTTGTTAGCAAAGTTAGGTGTTGTCTGCATTAGAATGAGAAATAGCAAATGTTTTAAATTGTCTAAATCAAATAGTATTGTAGTATTGTTATTTTATACAGGCATTGAAAAATGGACTTCAGATGTGTTTAGTCAATGTAATGTGATCTACTAAGGTTTCTGGAACAAATCATGATTATTAACTAAAGGCACTACATTGATTCTATAGAATCTAACTTAAAATCCAACACAGGTGATTATTGAATTACAACTGAAAAATATCTTACCCCAAAAGACATTTTTTCCAAAAAATGCGCAATCCCACTTGGATAGGTAGCTTCATATCTTGATCCAGAAGACAGTAAAACTATAAAAAATATAAAAAAAATATAGGCTAAAAACAAATCTTTGGTTCACTTGTAATAAAATGTATCATTAAAATTTCAGTTCTTAACCTCTTAAAAATTATATTTTTTATTTCAAAATTTAAAATCCGATATGCTCACCGCCTACAGTACAGAATTGGCCAAATTTATTTTCGGATGCAATTTTCAAGCCATTGTCAAGTGTTGTTACATGAGTATCATATGCATGGCATGATGCAGTGGCAAACTGAGGTGTTGGCAGCCCAGGTAATGGTTTGCTAAGGGAAACTTTTGTCACATCTTCTTCACCAGGTTTGGTACAGCTCAGGAATCGCCTTAATGATTGATGTAAATACCAAGTTAGCTTGAACAAAATAAATTATTTGGACAAGTATTTAGTCTACTAATAGCATTCTTCACACAAATCGCATAAAGGTAAGGGTAAAAATTGAGAGACAAAATGTGAGTTGACAAAGTGGTAAAAACTGTCTATCACATAACATTTAAAATTTTTGAGTATACCATTTGGTAGATTTCTGAGATTACCACATGGTAAAGTGCACAGATGTTTGCCACACCAACACACCCATTCACTGCTGTGACTCTCCAAATCTATCATACACATGTACAAATGACTGGATTTTACCAAGTTGTGTTAATGCTAACCCTATCCCTAACCCCAAGCTTAATTTTACCATATTCCTAACTATTTCTACAATAAAACGAATCAAGATTACAATACTACTAACAACCCAACATACCTATTGTTGGAAGAGTCTATTATCAGAGATCTGCATCTTCAAACATTTGGGTTGGGGTTAGGGATGACATTGGCCAGCCATGTGTGTATTTTAGCTAACTATCACTACCAGTACCCCAGCACTTGGCTAACACCCATTTTTTTAAGAAGATTAGGACACTGGTATAAAAAAAAACAATGTGACAAGTCGGAAGATGCTTATGCCCCCTAGCCAAGACTGGCTGGCAGAAGACCCAATGACCTTAAATGGACTAAAAATGGGCTCAAATTACCCTTAAGAGCTGCGCAATGGGCTCAAATTACTCTTAAAACAAAACTAAGTGAATTGTGTGGTTGAGCGGTTGCGCTTTGGAAGGATCGCAAGGGGATAGCATCTAGTACAGAGATCTACCCATCTTGTCTGTAAGTAAAGTATAAAAATCTTTATAATAAATATAGCCTATTCAAATCTACTATTTAAGTTTTAATCATGTTATCCCTGCGAGAAGAAAATGCAAGACAAACCTGCAGTATCACAGGTAAATAGCGAGACACATTTGCGGAAAAAAGTTTGTTACATGTTTATTTGGGTTGTTTATATATTACGATTAGTAATAAAACAGATAGTGTTAGTTACCTCACAAGTTAAAGACAGTTACAAGTACTATAAGTCGAAACCTTAGGTCGAAATGTCCATAGTACTTGTAACTGTCTTTAACTTGTGAGGTAACTAACACTATCTGTTTTATTACTAATTGCATTAACCGCACTGCAGCTACCATTTGTTTTTTATAAATTACGAATGTTGTGTTGTTCTTTTTTAAAATCTAGTTTTGATTTTTTTTAAATATATAAATATTTAAAAATCTTAACCGCCCCCTCTGGTTCTCTTGACAGCGGGAGAAAAATCCCGTCTCAATAGACGGGTTAGTGTGTATCGTATCGGGTAGTGGTAAAATGTGAGGCAAAAATTTCATGTGACTGATGGTTTTCGTGCCCTTCTTACAGTTTTCCGCCTCGCCAGAAAAAACAAAACAAAAAAAGTCACAAATGTATATTTGCATGGAATTTGTTAATACTTGTATGTATTAAATATTCAGAAAGTGCAAATCAACGTACAATACTTACAATTAATTAAATGTAATAAAATGTACGTTGGTCAGTTTACATGTATAGTGGTATTTATATAAAACACACAAATATATTTAGTGTGATGTAGGCCCTATTTACATTTTAATTTAATTAAATAGAATGTTCCAACCTTCTCAGTTTTCATAGTTTTTGTTAAATACTAACTTTAAATTAACACAAAATGGCATAGAGACGTAGTTAATGTAACTTGCTGCCCTCAACTCATTGCAACAATAGGTCAACCACCTATAGAATCGCCATAAATAAATCCCCCAAAAACTCTTTTGATCCATGTCAACTGTCAACAATAACTATCTGGGGCTTCTCATCAAACTCTCTCTCTCTCTGAGGTGGTGTCCATTGATCTCTGTCTCCGACTCTCCACCCTTCCCTCACCCGTTTTAAAAATTACAAATTGAGCAAAAATCGATATTTACGCACTGAACTGGGATAAATAATCATAAATTCAACACTAGGCTCAAGGAAAGATCTATAAACCTATTAGCTAGACACTAGGTTGGGGTAAAACTACATTTTAGCGTATTTTATTACCCGCTTCACGTTCACCTCCAGTTGAGCGTATTTTATTATAAACACAACGGAGGAACCACACAAAAACGTTAGGAAAACACTAGATCTACTAATTTTTTTTATGAATCTGATTTTTAATTAGAAAAGGTAAAAAAAAAAACATAAAAAAGCATTAGAAATGTTTTAATTAAATATCGTGTGATCGTCAGCGGGAGAAAAATCCTTACGCTGTCGCTGGTTCACCGTGAGTTCACATTGACTTTAATTACCAGCATATGTCATAGCTCGGGCAATTTGAGCTGTTTGAAATTGTGTTGGCCTCAGTTTTGCATTGTAAGTTCAATAGTTCATAGGCCTAAAATGTTTATTTTTTGGATTATGCCTGGGAGATACTTGTAACAATACAAACTTAACCGCCTTGCAATTGTGAGTTACGTTTATGTACTTCACCCATTACCATAAAAATTCTGACACGAACATAGCACATTCAATTTTTCTCAAGTTTTGACAAAAGTAAATTATCAAAATCTAAAACAAAGTCAGTCTCTTTGTTTTTTTAATCATTTTTATTCATTTGTTAAAACAAAAATACAATACAAATAAATAAATCGTGTTTTCCTAATGTTTTGGTGTGTTTCGGTTATTATAATAAAATACGCTAAACTGGAGGTAAACAAGAAGCAGAGAATAAAATACGCTAAAATGGGAGTTTTACCCTAGGTTGGGTCTAGAAGAATCTAGATCTTAACTAGATACTAGGAAACAGATTCTAAGTAGCCTATTTCATCATCTCATCATTATCATGCCAATTTGACTTGTAACTTAACAAGTTAAAAAGTCACAAGTGTGTGTTGAAAACAAATTCTGTCGATAACCGAGGTGTCGAGGACGATGAGGTTTAGTATATTAAATTATAGATTTACACATGATGTTCTGGACCATTAATAGTTATATTATGTCGCATACAATATTACATACACCAATTTCTATTAAAGCAATAATAAAAGACTAACTTGTTATATTTGCAGGAGCATTGACCTTTAAGTCTAACAACACGATTTATCAAGCGCGCCGCCATGATGAAATAGAACTGATGACAGATTTTAATTTACACGAGTTTAATAAAAAGTTCAACCACGGGCTAAAACACAGTGGTGGAACAGATTATCATTAGGCCCTACACTTGGATTTTAGACATTTTTAAAAAATACATGTAGGCATATATAGATATTAAGATAAGGTTCTAATTTATAATTATAACCTACTGCACGTAGATTTGTATTTTATTTTTACTTTTTTATTTAAAATCCAGGGACAGATTTGCAAAGTTGAAAGTCCCATTTTTAAAATAAGCCAATATTGCCAATATTGACCAAGATCTGTTATACTAGTCTTTAGGCCTTCCTGATATTAGTGGTAATTAGCAGTTTCTTGCAGACTATCGATTTTGCGCCCCCCCCCCCCCTTCCATTTCTATTAAATTATAATTCCTGTTGGAAAATTTTGTGACGCTTCTTACATTTTCTATAGCCGTGTGGAGTTTCTTCCAGGCCCTCCCCTTCCGCCCCCGGAAGAGTCTACCGCCCTCCCCCCCCCACCCCCACCCGAACGAAAGGGAATTTATATAGAAAATTTATACTTTTAACAGTTTCTGCCCCCCCCCCTCCCCGAAAATTTCAATCGCCCCCCCCCCCCCCCACCGGAGAAAAAAATTCTGGAAGAAATACTGTGTCGGTGCCACAAAATTGACAGAAAACAGTTAAAGCTGTGTGTAAAGCCTTATAGTCCTTTATTTTTTGTAACGTTGACAGTGTATAATACTATAATTCAAAACTTCAGCTTAAAATGAGCTATTAAATTAATTTTCGATTTTCGACCCCTTTTGTCGCCCCCTTAGATTCGGCGCCCAGGGCTACCGCCTCACCCGACCTCCTCTAGCTACGACACTGCCCACCTCCCCCGAATGAAATAGAACATATATAAAACGTATACCCGTGTCCCCCCTACCCCCCCCACCCCCACCCCCCTCAGAAATGGGCAGCGAAGAAATCGACTGCTACTTACGAGGCAGGGGTTTTAGTCATTAAAATTTGTTTCATAACATCATCACTATGAGCAAATATTGTGATTAAAAAAATTACCTCATATAGACATCAAAATCTCCTTCCCGATGACCACGGAATGCTAAAGAATTTTTACACGGAACTAGCATACCCGCCGCTGAGATCTAGTCCTACATACCAGGGTGGTGATACATTTAATAAGGGTTTCATTAACGCGTCACCAATAGTGTGTTTTTAGACGTGGGAAGGGGGTCATCCATAAATGACGTCACACTCGTAGGGGGGAGGGGGGGTCCGTAATTTTGTGACGATGTGTGATGAGGGGGAGGGGGGGGGGTCAGATGTTGCGACGTCACATTTTTGCATTATAAAAAAGCAATGTTAGAAAACGAATTTTAGACGTTATTTCGCGTTTTAGAAAACTGTTTTAATAAATTGTAATAGTTTAGACAAGATTTTGGAAAAATATCGATGTTTAAAAAAAATTCAACTGCAATTTTGAGGGGGGTTGTAGGTTGAGGTGTGACGTCATTTTAGGGGGGGGGGTCTGGCTTTTTGTGACGACGTGTGACGGAGGGGAGGGGGGGAGGTAAAAATCGTCAAAAAAAGCGTGACGTCATTTATGGATGACCCCGAACTGTTTTTAAAACTTAGATAAATAAGATGATAACGATACCGGTGCTGGATTTCTCGGGATATTTATTGCTGGGGCGCGGGTTTGTCTACGTTACCGCTTAGACAAACCTGGACATGCTGTATGAAAGTCTTGAGTGTACGTTAATCACCCTCATAAAAAGTGAGGTTGAACATCTCTCGGCGACCGCCAAAATGTCAGGGGCATCGCGGGAGTGACCGGTTTCTCTTTGAGGTTTTGGTCGTACACCTCAATTAACCCCTCTGTCAATCTTTCCAGTTAACCTAACCATCGTTGTCTACCTTTAAAATCACCGCCACTACTGTATAGCCTTTTTAAAAATACTTAATCAATCTCCTGATTGGCTTGAATGAATTCCCAATCTCATATTGTGTAGTCCATACATCATTTGTACGAATGTTCTCTGTCATATATTGAGTTTTGTTTTCTGTGGTTTTGGTTAGGTCCGTAAGGTGTAACATATGCCGAGAGAAAATGAATGATACAATATAAGTAAACTAATTTTATGTGAAAGATAAACGAACACGTGAAAAGTTTTAAACATTTTAACAACTATAATAATACAGTAAAACAAAACAAGAGAAAAGCAATGGGAAGTAACCATAAATAATTTTATTTTATGTAAAAATAGATTATTTCCCTTGAGTGGTTTTGTCCTATATTCAAGACAACAGTGTAGTTTTTCAATATAATAAAATCATACTAGCCCAGTACTTGTTTTGGAATGCATTTTGGCTGATCTTTGTACAACTTGAATGTCGCTCTAAAAAGTGGCGTTGATTTAGTCTGTGCTAATCAACGTCGCCTGCTGCATTTAGCATATTAAAATCACAAACAAGCCTCTATTATAGACACTTTCTTCAGGGACAATTTTTACCAGTTTTTGAAACCATCTACTGAAACTTTTCTACTCTTATAAACTATATTAAAACAAGTAGGCCATAGTTCTGTCAACAGTATTAAGTATTATATTGCATGCAATCTTCGCCCCCTCCCCCCCCCCCCCAGACTTTTCCCATAAATCCGTTCTTTATTGTAGATCAGTGTCAGTGCAAGCATCCATTGATAGAGCTGAGAGCACATTGCACAACTGATCTACTAGCAACTTGTCACTTCTACCCGACTATACAGATTAAAAGTCATATTTTCTATATAAATTATATAAATTTCATTTCGTTCTGGGGGATAGGGGGGCGGTAGAATTTTTTCTGCTCATTTCAGAACCCCGAGACAGATGAATAAATAGTCTTTTAAAAATTACATTTTAAAATAAATATGTCCGGACTCCAGCGCCGATTAAATGTCCGTCATCCGTCACGTGGTAACGGTCCCGCGTGACGTCATGTCCGTCATGTTTCTCTTTACTCCTACAGGCGGTGGGTTCAGTTCGACAGCGAGGTGCTTGTAGTGAGGATCTCAGTGCTAAATCGCTCAGCGAAGACCTGCGCGCGCCGTTCACGCGGTATCTGTCCTTGAACTTGCGCACTGTCCGCGGTAAAATCAGGTCCGTGGTAGATTGTTCTAGAAAAGATTCAGTGTGACGATGTGGCGTGTCGAATCCGTTCTCTGGCAGCCCGCGTTCTGCGATACAATTACTGTTTTCTGTTCTTTGATTTGACATGTTTCTCAATGAGTGGGCGGGGCTTATAGATTCATTTATGTTAGTGCATAACACAGAATTCTTAGATACGTCTGCTGTAGTGGGTGACGGACTGTTTTTGAAAAAGTCTGAAGAATTTTTGGAATATTTCTTGGAGAGTTTAGCTGGAGGGTTGAGATAACTCGCGGAGAGACCAGAAAGTGCTGAGGGGCAGAAGATACTCGTCAGTGGTAAAGCGTTCAGACGACAGGAGCCGTTGGTTACGTCATAGCTGGGGATGGAAGCCTGCAGGCTGTCCTGGTGGAGCTGGGCGTACAGCAGCTGTTGGCTGTACAGCAGGGACAGCCTCTGGTCAACTGGACAAGGCTGGCCAGGCAGGGCGAATGTGTATTGTTGTGGGAAGGTTGGGCTCAGTGATGAAAGGTCACCTTCTATCGTGGCTGATTTTGGGATATCTTTTCTGGGTATTTTTTCTGTGGAATAATTTTTTTTTACATTCGTGTTTTAAAGTTTCTTTTTACTAATATATATATATATATATATATATATATATATATATATATATATATATATATATATATATATATATATATATATATATATATATATATATATATATATATATATATATATATATATATATATATATTTTTTTTTTTTTTTTTTTTTTTAAATTTTTATTATTTTATTTTTCTTCTTCTCTGCATTGTAAACTAAGCATTGATCACAGATATTTTTTAATGACTATATCTATTGTTGAAGTTTTTCGTTGATTAGCTATACATACAACGTATAGACTCCTCCATACTTAAGCCCTAACCTAACCCTAGTCCTTAGATATCGAGTACATTTTGCTTAACACAAAAATACTACATTTCTTTTGCACATCGCTTTTTACGCTCGACTACATTATCTTATATAACAGCCCGTCACTTTCCATAATATTTCTAGCTACTTAAATTTGCCAATCCCAACACAGTTTTTTTAAACCACAAAAATCCGAGTTATTTATCAACGAAATGTACAGAAATCCCGTTAGCTCAGAGGAAATTGAGTTCTACATCTTTATCAGAAACATTTTTATAGTTATGTTTAATGTTTAAAAAGGTAAGAACGTGTAAACGAAATTTGTAAACTTGCTTATCAAATAATTAAAAATATAAAAAGTGTAAGCAAAAAATAAGAATAAGGAAACTCATCGCCAGAGTCTTATAAGATTGCACTTTATCACCCCTCCCAGAGGCAAACTGTCTCGACTAGTTTTGTACTAGAATCTATACGTCCCGTACACGATCTAGCTAACATATTTCTTTATATGCAAAGCAAACATAAGGAATGTGTTGATACTCCTTTTAGATAAGAATACAACCGAGCTAAATCCCCAAAGGGAAATCTTTTAAAAAAGAAAGAACAAAATAATACCAGAGGGATGAGCGTACGAGCGCTGGTCTAAACACCGTTTCCCTGAATTTAGACTGCCTCGTTGAAAAAGTCCTGGCACAAGGGGAGAGCATCCCGGAGAAAAGCCATTTGTTTTGTACGTGAGCAAGCTTGGGTAGTGCGCCATGACAGCTTCGTAAGGCACCCTGTGCGTGATACAAGAGGATAAATCTATTACACCGATACATTAATTAACAACAAAATTACACGGCACAGCATGGATGAGGAACAAAAAAAAAAGACAGACTGCATATGGCGATCCTTGCCCTAACTAGTAATCCAGCTTTATTAATGTGACGTCTGCTTCATTTCCACCAGAACTACCAAGAGATTTACCCACAGTGACGTCATAATGTAATTAAAACAACGTTTTTTTTACCTGGTTTTCCCAGACTCCCTGAACCCCTTGGCGAACGGGTTGCTGGCTATTTTTAGCGTGGTGATCTGTAACAAAACAAAACCTCGTATGTTAAAGAGCGTGATATATAAATAAAATAATGGAGTTAAATAAACAAAGGCGTTATCAGTGGGGGAGTAAGGGGGCGTCCGCTCTCCATAAGGGGCGTTTTAAGGATAGAAGCGCCTTTAAAATGATATGATTTTTAGATTAGATTTTTTTTTTAAATGTCCGATTTGTAGTGGATAGAAATATTGGTGGTAACTTTTTATGGTCTACTTTATTCTCCTTCTTTACAGAAAACCTGGCTACGCCCCTTCATACAACATTTCGTTTTAGTTTTAATATAGCATGCAATATGTAACATGCATAAATCACGATCTTTTCTAGTGTTGGTAACGAATGGCGTAGTGGGATTTTGTTATGGCAAACACACACTCACACACACACACACACACACACACACACACACACACACACACACGTGCGCACGCACGCACGCAAAAACACACGCACACGTATGCGAACATGCACACATACACTCACGCATACACACCATATTGTTACACGGGTGTGTTTTATTCCCACCAACATTCCCCTGCATACGCCATCATCCGCATACGCAATCCCCTCCATACTTCACTCAGATTGCTTTAGAAAAATAACAAAAACGTTGTGCGCCACTGTGTGTACCTTCATTCACGAGTCACGGGATGGACTTGATTGAGTTTTAATGTAACAAGTTGTTAAAATGTAAAAAGTTGACCAACAAATAATCGAATTAATGCTTTTAGATTTTTTCTGAGTGTCAAACTTGTTGGATCGCACTTTTGGCCTAGTAATCGATCGCTATAACCCCTTTTGATATATAGTATATAGGCTACATCTATTTGGGTACTTTTGCATGTTTTTGTAAGACAGCATCGGCAAAACTTGATTCATAAAGTAATATTTCAAAAAAAAAAAAATTAAATATCGTCAATCGCGTATAACTGAGTTAATTTGTTTTTCTCCCATAGCACATGTCATGACGTCAGACATACGCCCATAAGGGACTAGACATTCTGACACCATCAGCGATAAAAGTCTACTGTTTCAGCACCTCTGATTATAGAGGTCAGGGGCCGATTGAAGTGTTGTGATCACATGACCAAAACATTGCAGCTATCTCTTCACACTGGCGACATCAATACTGGCTCGATATCGAGGTGATAAGCTGATCAAACCATAGTAAGTGTATTCCCTCTATCGCTCCATGTATCTTCCCCCCTTCCCCCAGACATACACACACACTCACGCACGCAAGCACGCACGCATGAACGCACGACACACACGCACGCGCACACACACACGCACACACACACACGCACATACACACACGTACATTTGATTAATATTAAAAATTCACACGAGAACAAAAATGAAAAATTATGTCAGTGCTAAACAAGACATACTTTGTTCCAATTTAAGTCATAAAAAGGAACACAATTTGCGTTGCTTCATATTTTCAACAGTCCATACGTTTTAGAGATTGCATTGGTTTTTTTTCTTCCCTTGATATGCAATTTTTCAACAACACTAATAATATTTTAAAGTTGACTAAGCTGAAGTCAAGAATAAGTTTGCCGCGAGGTCCATAGGTCATGAAGCTTAAGCCAATAATTCAGTATTCTGACGTCGAAAAGGTCAAAGTGCTGAAGTCATTCGGTCAAGGTTTTATTCAATAGGTAATTATAAAAAAAGCTGAGAGGTCAAGGCTTTCTCGTGCAGTTGGAAGGACATGAGTATGGAAGTCATATTGCCACGAGCGTCACGTAAAAACAAACCCAGTGGCGTAGGCAGGGGGGGGGTTAGGGGGGGGTCATAACCCCCCCCCCCCCATAGACCCCTCGGTATATATATAAAAAGTATGAGGGGGGGGGGGTGTGCAAATCGAAAGTTTGAGGGGGGGGGGGTGCAAATCGAAAGTTTGAGGGGGGGGGGGGGGGTGCAAATCGAAAGTTTGTCCCCGGGTAAAAATTGGAACCCCCCCTTGAGACGATCCTGGCTACGCCACTGAACAAACCTTAGTCTCGCTAGCTAGAATTTATTCTAAACCTCTCTTTGATCGTGAGGAAAATCAAACACAATCATTAAAAAATAAATCAATAATAAAAATACTTTGTAACGAACCCAGTTTCTGTAAAATATTACCCTACCCCTCTAAAAAAAATGTTAAAAGAAAAATAAAAAACAACACCCCAACAACCAAGGATAAGAAACGAAACAATGGTTTCTTGAATCGTGGGAAAATATTTTTTTTATATTATCAAACTGCTCACTTATCTCATCCTATATTATCTCATCTCTATCTCACATGTGAGATAACGCTTGTATTTTTTTTTACATCAAAAACATTCTCAGTTATCACCGGCCCTGATCACAAGTGCCATAACTCCCATACACAGTACCAAAGGGCCATTATTTGTTTAAATTTTACTCAGCGGCCCTTTCCCGTAAAGATTTTTTAAAACCATCTTTAAAGTGTCCTTTTACATTCGTTTCGTACATTGTCCCCTATTGATTTCAGTACTGCAAGGAAATTCAAAAAGAAAAAAAAAAGGGGAAGAAAAAGTTCTCGATCAGTAAGAAGGGAAGCAACTTGAGCGTGAGAACAGAGTTACCGGACCTGACAATATCAATCAAGGGGCAGACATTTTGTATTTAGCAGGATGTCGCGATTACAGTCTGTTTCTTTAAAAAAAAAAAAGAAGATGTAATTGTATGGGTAATGCCACGCGCTGTAGGCACACAGATTGACGTCTGCTTCTAAAAAAAAGATTTAAAGTGATTAATTATTTGAATTTAATTAGTTTGAGATGTTTAGGATTTCTATGAGACGGAACACTTTCAGGAAATTAAATAAAGGACAGCGGTAATTCAGGAGCAGGGATTTTCAAGACGAAAACTTGAAAAAAAAAATCGAACAGAATATATTTTGTGGGGAAATTTTTATCAGCAATGCATGTATTTAGTTTTTGAGAATATTTATATATCTTAGCGTTGAGAGAACACGGGATGCATGTTTATTTGGTGTTTGAGAGAAGGTTAGGATACATGTTTTGAAAGTTAATGAGAATGTTAAGATACATGTTTTGGAATTTAATGATAATGTTAAGCTACATGTTTTGGAAATTTATGTGAAGCAAAGGCCAAAACTTTTGGAGTTTATTGGAAGCTAAGAAAACATATTTTGAAGAAAATTTAGGTATATGTTTTAATATTAGAGAGAGACATAGAAACATGTAAGCGGTATTTAACGGCACTTTGGGCAGCATTTTCTGCGTTTGGAGGTTTGAGATATATTTTGTTGAAACATCGAAGAGTGTAGGAAATAAGTTTATCTGTTGTCCAAATTAAAGTGGTACGTGATTTCGTTGTTAGTGTGACTGTTTTAGCGGTTGTTGATCTGTTTGACTACTATAACTGTAACAGAATTAGGTTTTTTTGTAGAAAGTTTCGATCTCAAAGCCATGTACTTCCATTTTTTAAAACCCCCTCGGGGGAAAACAAGGAATGGAGGTACTACAAAATACAAAGTTTTTATATTAGGTTTTTTTTTAATTTGCAAAAAACTAGGAGATGAAAGAAAACATATTACTCTTTTTTCTTCGCTCCTTCCCAAATCTATTATTTGAACGTGCGGGAGACCCAGTTCTTTCCCCTTCTTGAGTGAGATGTAGTTATTTCCCTTACGTGAGAGAATTATGGCTACCTCCCCTTAGCTTTGAGAGGTTTATATATGTTATGACGCGTACACGAATCCGAACGCTATTTAGGTCACGCAGCAGGTTGTCTAAGTCAAGCTACGGTGATCACGTGGTAGTCAGCAGGATGTAAAGACATCACCTGTAAGAGCCAACCATCACAGCCATACAGAAAAGTTGTTAACAGCAATGATAATTATTCATCACATCCTTTAGCCAGGAGCGTATGACTAGGAACATATTTTATCAGATTATTCAGTTTAAAGCATATATATATATATATATATATATATATATATATATATATATATATATATATATATATATATATATATATATATATATAATTTTTTACGGAGGGAGGAGGGGGTGAGGAGGGGGACACCATTAAGTGCCGCACCGGGTGACACCCGACCTCGCTACGCCACTGATGTATAGGCATAAACAATTTTATATATGCATTTATGCATATATACTTTTATATATATATATATATATATATATATATATATATATATATATATATATATATATATATATATATATATATATATATATATATATATATATTTATTTATTTATTTATTTATTTATTTATTTATACATATATGTATATATACATAGTATATGCATTACGTATGTATGTATACATGACATATATGTATATATAGAAACATACATCTATATATATAATGTGTGTGTGGCAAATAAATATGGTATACAATATGGTATGATCAAATCCCTCCTCTAGTAATGGTACATTGTAACCGCCAGCAAGCTCTGATGACAAAAGCCGCTTGAGATTTGAGAGAATAACGGAGCGTTGTGGTTTTTTTTAACCGTTCTCGCCGAGGTCGTCACTTAGACCGACCTGTCTCAATTTGTCCCAGTTAAAGCCCACCCACTTCTCATGACAAACCGGCCTCATACGTTATTGCCAGGATTTTTTGTAAAAATAAAATGTAAAGCCAATTTTAAATAACCTTATACGTTATTACCAGGATTTTTATAAGAATAAAATGTAAACGAAATTAAATTTTTTTTTTTTTGTGTAAACATATTTTCCCATGCTGGGTCCATCTCCCCACCCACCCCGTCTTCCACTAGTGCAGGTAGCTTGTTGGCGCAATCGTACGTCTGATAACTCTGATTAGGTTATCTTCTGGTGTTGGCGCGCTGGGAGATACGAGGAAGGTGAGACCAAATAAGGCGAGGAACACCCGCAAGTGGCGAGGGTTGTCGAGGGCCTGTTGACGAGCGCCCTGCTCTATCTCGAGGGCTGATGGCGCCTGGGTCTCTGA